GCCCGGCCATGAAGGTGTTTTTTAAACGACCACGTTCACTCCGAAAGTTCATCTCCATCAGCACCGCCCAGATGAAGCAAAGCACACGTTGCGCTTAGCTGGGTAATAACGAGGTGCACGCGCGCTGCGCGGCCTATGGAACTAGACTTCTGACGCCGGCTCCAGCTTCCTTCTCCCGGGACACGCTCCTCCTCCGGGAGAGCAGGTGGAGCAGCCCCAAGGCGTGCTCGCAGCGCGTTGCTGAAGCTGGGACCATGACAACCTCCGGTGGGGCGGGAGCGGGCGGGGCAGCAGATTCCAGGTGAGGGTCTCCCCTGAGCCTCCTAGCACGACAGAGGAAGCGCTTTTCAAAGTTGTGGTTACTTCTGGCAGAAATGTAGTGCTGACGATTCTTCTTCTGCTGGAAGACAATGGACTTTGCTTTCCCTTTCCTGTCCTTCATAGTCACTGTGTCACCACACAGCACGGTGGGGATGCTTTCACACTTGTGGCAGGTCTCTGTGCCAGCCAGGCGCATTCTTGTGAGTAACTCTGGATGTTACATCGAACGTTCTGATGGCACTCTGCGCTTGGATGTGATAGCGGCCTCTCAGTCCACCCGATTTCTCCTGGCTGGCTGTGTCCCATACATCGAACTTAACAGTTCCTCTGTTGGTGTGGAACACTAGGGGATGAACCTCAACCCCCGAGGTGGCTACATACTTCTCAGATTCACCAGTCTAATGACGTTTCGCAAAGCTCGTTTTTCCAGTACCACCATCACAACCGATACAAGTTTAAACAGGACCCAGGGCTCTCCCTGCACAGCCACCACTGCGTTCCTTCCGGAAGCATCTCCACGTCCCTCCGACCGAGGCTGGAAAGATGGCAGAAGCACTAAGTTTTATATATATATATATGCCTTATGATTAGTAATCTGGAAAGACTTCTTAGCAAGGAACAAATGAAACGCGCCAAAAAAGGTTAATCGGCTTTTCATCCATTCCTTGCGGGAAACTAACATGAATGCATATCTTCAGGAAGCTGGGCATAGCAGAGCCAAGATAGAATTCGGACACAAACCCTAAGAAATATGGTAGTTATTCTTCAGACAACATAGCTGTGAATGGAGTTTCCTGAAGACAGTAACAAGAAATGTGGATTCCTAGTCTAAAACTCCAACCAGTGTGTCAGAGGGCTACTAACCTGTGTCAGGAGGTACTGATCTTCCAACTACTGAACAGTTTTCATTAAAGAGCCAGCTCCCTACAGAAAGATATCAAACCTTCCTTATCTTTTTCCTTCACTAAAGGCATGGTCCATTTAAACCTAGTTCGCTAAATATTACCTACCTAGGATCTGGTCACTCAATGACTATAGTAGGTTCCAAACGGCACCTATATACCTCTGTTCTCTGAGAACACAGTTTAAGTGCCTAGGCTCCTTCATGAATGAAGAACTTTGATCTAAGCAGGATTTAACAGAAAATTATTACCCAGTTCAAATTTAGCTACGCTTGCCTCTTGGAGTTCAATAATGGAGTTTCTACATAACTTCTCAAACATGTATGTAGAATGATAACACCCAAGGAAAAATAAAAGCTACCGAACACATTGCTGTAAACTAGTTAGCAGTGTCCTAAGACCTTTGCATTACCTCAAACACTGACCTCACCAGCTTGATGTCATTCTGTCCAAATTATCCCTATCATAATTAATTTTAATGTCTGGCTGGGCATGGTGGCTCATACCTGTAATCCCAGCACTTTGGGAGGCCAATGTGGGCAGATAGCTTAATCCCAGGAGTTTGAAACCAGCCTGGGCAACATGGTGAAACTCCGTTTCTACTAAAAATACAAAAAAAATTAGCCAGGTGTGGTAGTGCACACCTGTGGTCCCAGCTACTCAGGCACCTGGAGTGGGAAAATTGCTTGAGCCTGGGAGGTGGAGGTTGCAGTGAGCTGAGATTGCACCACTGCACTCCAGCCTGGGCGATGGCAGGAGACTCTGTCTCAAAAATTGTGTGCATATCTGTGTGTGTGTGTGTGTGTATGTGTGTGTGTGTGTGTGATCCCTACAGTACTCTAACCTCTCAGTTCCTTGACTTACTCTTTCAGTGATCTAGATGAGGGGTTGATTGACAAACTAGAAACTAGTACCTTCTCAGTACCAGTAACGAAAACCTCCCAAATCTGCCTCAAGCTGTCTTAACATCATCATTCATCCTTCCATCTCTTTCCGTCTAGTACCCCAACAATTTTTCAACACGACAGTCCCCTGAAGTTCACAAATGTAACCACCTTCTTCGTTCTTCACCCACTCCATTCCTGATTCTCTCTACCCCCCATCATTACGATCACCCCACATGCTCCACTGCCTGTCTCTCCATCTGTTGTTCTTTACCTGTTAACCTTAAGCGAAATTTTAAAGACTGCCTGTTCCTTACCTGAGCCTGCTTAGTATCAGGTGGCTAGAGAAAAAATACAAGCATGGCAGCTTGTCTTATTTGAACCTGAAGTTGGCCATGCTGGATGCCCATTGATCCTACTTTCTCATCTCTCAACCCCAAACCCCTCCCCACCCTCAGTTTATTTCACTGAGAAAATAGAAGCAACCAAAATAACTTCAGCAGAATCCCATGGCCTTACCAACTGCCCATTATATTCTGCGTGTCCTCCTTTCTATGAAGGTTGAATGTGTCTCCATGAACCCATCCTTCCTTGTCTACTCAAGGACCTCTTCTTTTTTCCTCTTAAACATTCCCATCATTAACAAAAAGCTGTAATTTTCTGCAGCTTAAAATCTGATCAATCTCAGATTAATTTTCCCTGTCAAACCATCAACCGCAAAATACAACTGTAATATCCCACATCTTAAAAAGATCATGCATGCCTTTTTCGGAAACCTCATAGGAAGAATTGCAATAGCTGTCTTCAGTTCTTCTGCCAGTCTCTGTGGGACCCACTCCTCTCAGGCTTTGGCTTGTCACCATCGCGCTGAAGCTGCTCTCGGGAAGTTATCAGTTATCTCCACGCTGGTCCATTTTGAGCCCTCATTTACTTCACCTACCAGCAACACGTGACAGTTAATCATTGCTCCTTGAAACTATTATTCATTTGGTTTAGGGGACAACCCTTCTCTTTTGAGACAGGGGCTTGCTCTATCACCCAGGCTGGAGTGCAGCAGCACCATCATAGCTCACTGCAGCCTCCGACTCCTGGGCTCAAGCAATCCTCCTGCCTTAGCCTCCTAAATTGCTGGGATTACAGACACGTGCTACCATGCCCAGCTCATGTTTTTATTTTTTAATTTTTTGTAGAGACCTGATCTGTTTCCCAGGCTAGTCATGAACTCCTTGGGATCAAATAATCCCGCCCCGCTTGCCCTCCTTAAGTGCTAGATTTACAGGCCTGAGTCACCACACTGGCTTATTTTTTAAATAAATCCACCAGTGGAATACCCTTCTTTGAATGTCACCAGTCTCAACCCATCCTCACTGGCGACTCCATTTGCTGGCTCCTGGCCTCCCCAGATGTGAGCATACCCACGCGTCAGTGCTTGGTCCTGGACCTCTTCGCTGCACTCAACCCACGTACTTACTTCCCGTCTCAGGATGATGCCGCCCTGTGCGCTTCTCAGGCTGGGCCTTTCTCCTCAACTCCGGTCTGCTACATGCTAATGCCTATGTGACAATCCCACCTGGAAGTCTGAAAGACACTTAAAACAATGTCTGAACCCCAGATTCCTCTGCACACTCTACTCCGCCCCCAAATCAGCCGGTGGGCCTTCCGTCGTCCCGCCGTTCCTCAGCCGAACACTTTGCAGACGTCCTTGACTTCTCGCTGACCACACTCCGCAAGTCCCGACTGTTCCACCTTCAGCATGTCTAGAATCCAACCACTTTCACCACCTCTGCCAGTTCCAGTCAGGTGCAGGTCTCCGCCGTATCGCACCTGAATTCTTCCACGAGCCTTCCACTTTGTCCCTGCTTCCACCCCACCCCCTTAGGGTCTATTCCCAACGAAGTCCGAGATCATTTTCAGTCGGATGATGCGACTTTTCTGCCTCACTGGCTTCTCATTTTAATGATTTTTGAGACCGTCTTGCTCTGTCGCCCAGGCTAGAGTGCGGGGCGCAATGTCGGCTCACTACAACCTCTGCCTGCCTCCCAGGTTCAAGCGATTCTCACTTTCTGTAGGTTTCTGGTCAAATGCTTCCTTATCTCTGAGGCTTTCCCTGATCACCCTCCATAAAAATGGGGTGGGTGCACACAGGCACACACCTTCACATTCTGTCCATTAGAAAAACCGTTCCAATGAGGATTCTTGACTGATTTTGTATATTCCTAACCGTGTGCAGCACATAAAAATCTTTTAAAAATTGCTGTACAAATCCATATTTATCATCATCTGACATACTATAGATTTCTCTTCCTGCTGGAATGAAAACTTCAAGAACTCATATTAGTGCCTGGCACCCAGGAATTGTTCAGTAAATACTCAAGTGAATATAAATGACCTTACTCTGGACTTTTACTGTATTCCTTTTTGCTAAAAGCTTCATTATTAAAAGACCACATCTTACTCAAAGCTTGTTACTTACCACCCTCTTTCGGCAGTTCTATTAGCAAATGTCCAAGGTCATTTTTTAAAGACATGTAAATAAATGGTTTAACCTCTTTTCATGCAAATGGCATTTTTCTTGCAAAAAAAAAAAAAAAATCCCGTTTTTGAAAATGAGCTGATATGAAATCAGTTTTCTGTAGACCTACAACTTTCTCTGACAAGTGGGAGCACTAAACCATTGCTGGTAGAATGAACATCCTGCTGTCAGTCCAGCATCTATCTCTCTTCTCTTCTATTGCTCCTTGTGTGGGAAGTATAGGAATGCTTTGTAACCTGAGAGCAGCATTATCATTATTACCTGTACGGGGCTCCCTGTGCCAGGCATATCGGCCTACACTGCGGAGGGAAGCGGTAAAGAGGGAGGGCTGTAACAGATATAATTAAAGGCCAAACCACACATTGTCATAGAGATTTTAATAGATTTTCTGATTAACTCATCACAGTAATCATTTTTACTGTAATGATATGCAGCTTTACTACACTAGTATAAATAAAAACAGATAAATACAGCTCTAGGCAACATCACAGATTAACAAACTAAGCATTCTTCATGAACCAAAACTGAAAACAATTACGAAGAAGAGATGCTGACACCCTTGCCCATTCTCATCATACCTTCTCAAAAAAGGGTATTCAAATAAGGCGCTACGCTGATTATATTGGTAAATTAATTCGCCAGTTAGCCAGGCACAACAATTTCAGGGTCTCCACTTCCATGGTTTGGTTGAAAAGCAGACACACTTCAATACAGCAAAAAGAAAAATGGAACAGATAATAACACCAAAGAAAACCACTGAATGCATTAAAAATACGGCACTTTTCCTGTATTTTAGCAGTAAGACACGCTAGGGATAGAAATATACCGAAGAAGAAAATTAATGCTTTAATTAATATCCACCCTAAAATGTCTCTGAAGCAAGATGGGCAATGAAAGTAGAAGCAGAAAGAAAAACTGGAAATATGGAAAATAAAATCCATGTGAAGTTTAACGCACGAAAACTATCTGCAAAGAAACCAATTTCTCCTTTGAAGGCTTGTGACTTAGGGCAATTAAGTTATCCAATAGCCACGCTGAGGAGTTCATAGTCTAGCAGTACCTTGCACACAGCAGATACAGTTAAGACGAGGTGGAGATATACAGAACTATCATTTAGAAATGATTTTACTCTGGATGGCCACAACAACTTTGAAAGGGCTATGAAGAACACCTGAAGTCTGTCAAAGGAAGGAAGGAATAAGGACTAATTTTAGGCAGAGAGCACAGCTAACGTTTCCCAAAGTCCCGAAAATTTTGCTCAACTTTCAATTCTCATTCTTATATGGCTTCATCATCTTATAAGTCTTCAGGGCCTTGCCAATCTTAACAGGTATAATGAAAAACCAGGAAGTAAAGAATCACTTTCCAAATGTAAAACTGCTGACTGCCAGTTGTGTTTCAGAATATATCTGTCTTGGCCAGGCACGCTGGCTCACGCCTGTAATCCCAGCACTTTGGAAGGCTCAGGCAGACTGCTTGAGCTCAGGAGTTCGAGACCAGCCTAGGCAATGAGGCAAAACCCCATCACTACTAAAAATACAAAAAATTAGCTGGGCATGGCGGCACGTGCCCGTAGTTCCAGCTACTTGCATGACCGAGGCGGGAGGATCACTCGAGCCCAGGAGGTCGAGGCTGCAGGGGGCCAAAACCATGCCCCACCGCACCAGCCTGGGTGACAAGGTCAGACGCTGTCTAAAAAAAAAAAAAAAAAATGAAAAGAAAATATCTGCCAAAACTTCATTTTCCTATCAAAAATGCATAATCACAGAATATTTAGGCCAGTCCTTTGAGTGAACTGCCTTTGCCAACTGTGAATTAAGACTGTGACTAAAGCAGACACTTCCAAAAACAAAAATCCCAAATATACTCCAGTGCATTTTAACTCATCCTGCAAAAATGTTCAAACCATCATTGATCACTTCAAATATGGATGTGACCTAGCCCAAGAGTTCAAGTTATTTTCAGATTAAAATTTTAACTGCTATCTTTGCAGTTCTATTGTTTTCAAATTTCTTTTTAAGAAGATAAACAGTATGTAACTTTCGGTTTTAATCTCCAAAGTAATGTAGTTTTTCAACTTTCCAGTTAATGGGTCAAAATGGACAGGTCAGAAGACATAATCCAGAGGATGGCAGTGAAAAATCAGAGAAAGGTTTATGTACACACTGGATCACAGAGAGAGAACCACACCTCTTTTTAAACCTTGGTTACCACTGTAAACTTTGTTCACATCTCCATATTTGTAAATCTGAATTATTCTATAAAAATCACATTAGAAAGGTAAAATTACTTAAGTGCAATATTAACTGATCTGTATTTTATAAATTTTAATCCATAAAAATATAAATAAGAATGGTAAATTTTTAAGAAAAAAAATATACATTTAGTGCAAGTTATGAATTACATTTCTTCAGTGCCAGCCGTGAGAGATCTTGAGAAAAGAAAAGAATGACTGATCTAATTTCAATTACAAAATTCCAGAGTTTTAACATGCAATTAATACCAGATACAGCTAAACAGAATACTTCCTTCTCTTAACTATCAAAGCAGCAGCATTTTGTTTAATTATGCTGAACAGTACTTGTATATCATAGCAGTTTTAGAAATAGAAAATTTGCATAAGACCAGGTCACATTATCCATAAAGTCTGAGATGAAAACAAAAAAGAAAACGGTTTATTCTTTTAAAACCAAGCTTCCCTGCTTCCAGTTTTGAACCACATGGCACGCGATGAGCAATTTTGTTCACGCTTCGAGATTTTACCTGCTCGGTCAGCCTTGGCTGTGGTGCACATGTACACTGTTCCAAGCATTTAGTGATGGTACAAACTACATGGTTAATGGCACAAGAAACACTCCCTTCTTGTGAGGAAACCTCAGTAAAATCACAGTACATCTCAATATGAGAAAGGACTGCTTCAAGAGGGGACATCGATTTAAAGAGGCTTTGTTACAGCTCAGGAGAGAAAGAGAGAAATAAAGGCTCTTCTGGAATGTAGAAAGGTAATGCTTAACTATACAATTCATGAATGAAACACAACAGTTTTGATTTAAAAAAAAGGGCAAGACCTTGCAGTTTTATAGATGGCTCAATTCAAAGTAATCCCTCCAGAAATAGGGACTGAGAATGTGTCTTTGCAATGCTGGAGCGACGGGCCAGGTGCGCAAGGACTCTGCTGCCATCTCCGGTGAGGCCAAGCCTGCACTATCACGGCACATCCTCGGCTCAATGCATCCAGTGCAGAACACGGAGTTGCTTTGCTGCTTTCGGTCAGACGGGAAATCCCTCACTCCTTTCCCTCCCCAAACAACTCCTCCATTCCACCAGCATCATTTGCAAACCTTGTTGCAAAAACCCGGCTTTTAGATTTCCTTTCTTTTTTTGTAAAGGAGGAAAAAAAAAGTAGACGACTCCCTCGGGTTAAAGAGTTGTGCTATTCAACAAATAAACTTCCTCTTCCGTTTCTTCTCTCTCCTCGTCGGTGAGATTCAGTTGAACATGATTGAAGCGGGGTCTTGGTTTGCCGTCTGAGCCATATGCCGGAGGATATCTTTTTTTGTTATAATGCCAAGGAGGCGCCTGAAAGGAATAAACAAAGACTGCTATTGAAATAAGAGGGAAAAATAAAAGAGCAAGCTACATCTATAGGTAAATCCTTTTTGTTGACAGGAATAGAGCAAAGCAAGCAGCCTGATTTTGTATTTCCAAAAAGTACTTTATTGGTAAAGATATTAAAATGATCCGGCAACCATCCTTTGGTATAAAAAGTGACTACGGTCACTAATTGTATGACAGCCTTTCCACTGAGAGTCTGAGGACTGCATGGCTCACTGAAGTAGAGCTATTTTGATTAATGTATGCCAACAAAAAAGCAACAAAAAATGGGTGGATGTATGAACAGGAAATGATACTGATCCCATTTAAGAAGGAAAATTCATTTCCATCATTATCAAGAAAGCAGTCAAATGTCTGATGACCAAATCCCTTCACTACTTTCCCTTTTTTAATCAAAAATTACCAATTTTTAAAAGACAATTTAAGGATTGCCCACTTGTATACAAAATCTTCATGAAAGCACATACTATTGAGATAAAATGCACATAAAATAGTCAACACAGAACTTCAATCCCAAATATCAGAGCCCCAAGAACAAATCTATAAAAGAACTCAAGTTTCTAGGACACTTATCAATGTTTTCCTTTTTTTGACTTTGGCCAGAAAAATTAAGATTCAGTGCTTTTATGAAAGTCTTAGTTGTTAATGCTTACATTAAAAGATAGGTGAAAAATCAGAAGGCAGTCCTAAAAGATTATTATAGGTGAAGCAGAAAGCAGAATGAATGAGTAGCTACGATAATATTCTGGTTAGTAGTTTTTTAAAAAAGGATGCATGAAACATTTGTGAAATATTAGCATACAACAGGAAAACATAATCAGTTGTGTACTTAGGCAAACTGGGACAGGTTTCATACAGGCATGACAATTGCTGGGCAAAATAATTTCAGGCATTAGTTGCTAAAGCCAGACATTTTTTATGTTATGCGGTAAGATAATTCAAATTTGTACTCATGAAACCACTAGGACATAAAGCCAGTAAAAACGAATGCATTTGACTCTAAAAGCTGCTTACAGCATTCTAGAAACATCATACAAAAGGGGCACACACATACTCTAGGTATGATTCACTAATGACATGGCAGGACACACATTGTGACTCTGAAGATATGCAGGGTGTAGCAGAAAAAGAACTAATGCTATGATCACAAATCATATACACATTGCGCTCTTGTTAGTGTGCCCGTTAAAAAATCCGTTTAACTGGAAGCAATTCTAATTGCTAAGCTCCTTGAAAATCCTTCAGGAGGTCAGATTTACCGTAAGACTACCACAAGGTCAGGAAGCAGCTTTTTTAAAGAAGGGCTTTGCGGGGATGGGTCAGCATTTTTAACCAGTCAGGAGTCTTCTGAGACCGGTGTATCCACTGAGGTAGGTAGATTTTCCATGCTCACTTTAAGAATGTCCAATAATATTCACTCATTCCACCACCAAACTGTTTACAGTTCTGAAGTTGTAACGAATGATTTTGATGAGAGATGTTAACTTTTGCTTACTTTCTATGAATGGGATTTTATACATATCTAAATTTATCTTACAGACATGTTTTATCACATATAATGTAATTGGCAGCATAGTAGGATGTTTTTGTTGAGCAGGTATCTGGGAAAGGGAGAACTCAACAGTTCACAAGTTTCATGCTTCCTGTTCTAAGGTGTCTATGAGGAAGTCTGATATATCTAATCACCAAGGGCTCCACGTGCTGCTTTAGTTGCTCGAGATGCTCTAATATGTTCTTCTTTGTGATGATCCCCAAGACAATCCTGAAACAGATTATTATGCTAATAACTGTGTGAGAAATTAAATTAAAAGAGCTTCCAATCATGATAAAGAAAGAAAAAATAAAAACATGTACCGTAAGAATGAGTTTCATGAACTTTAGAAAATAAAAACAAAAATGATTTAAAGTTCCAAGTTACTTTTGCATAAATGTTGACTTTCAAAAGTGACACAATACTAATCGTAAATATTGGTGGGTTATTTTTCTTTTTAAATTAAAAATAATAATTATGAAAGTTTAGAATGAAGATGACTACAAAGCAAAGTACAAAAGAAACTTAATAGTGATACACAGCTATAGACCTCTGATACGTAGAGTGTCATTTATAATGTTCTTTCCTTAGGGGAAAATATTTTTCCAATTTCTATGATGTCACAACACAGCAGCTATCATTTGGATCTACCTTAGTGGTGAAAAGGTAGGGAAAGGCTGTGAGGAGACTTAAAGAAATCCTGTGAATTTTACAGTAATTTCAAATTAAAATTAAAAACAATGTGCAGCAAATAAACAATGCTGACCAAAAGAAATGCTCCCTAACGTTCAGGAGCTGTGACTGCCACTTCTTAACGTAAGTTAATAAAATGTATTTATGATTAGGGATCAAAAGGACTTTTATGCATTTTTTCCTAAATAACAATTTTCTTATTTAGCATGTCATTGTTATCACATCAAGCAAATTGATGGACATAAATTTTAATAATAAGGATACATGAAAATATTAGATTGCTTCTAATTAAAACAAAATTATGGTTACTGGTTTTATAATGGAAATTAATGTGGCAATATAAACAGTGAAAATTTTAAAAAGCTTAGAAACACTTTAATCTTTCAATTCTGGAAGCCCATGCAAAATACCCTTCAGGGTGACTGGAAATTTCCTTGATGATCTCATTAAGTCAACTTCTCTGTTAAACTGCCTTTGAACATTCAGAGTTGAAGGATGTCACCAGGAGACTTCAAAGTAGCCTGTTCCTATAGCTATGTCCAGGTGTAAAATAGTGACTTAGTTTGATGGCTGGGATGGGAGACTGGTGAGCAAGGAGGACAGAGAATGGGAAGAACAGAAATGGGTTCTCTGCTCATGTTTTCTCATGATTATTTTTAAAATAATGTATCGATCCTTAAGAATCAATTGAAAAGTTCTCAGAGCATGGGAGCAACCTCCCCCTCCAAAAAAGCTCAGAAAGTGCACTATATAAAGTGAACGTTCACACATTCAACAGATGTTCTTCCTTGACTAAACATGGGAGGTTTCTTTTTTTTTTAAGCCATCAATTCACTTGATGTTATTGTTGTAGTCAGGAAATGTGAAAATCTTGGCAATTAATTAAACATGATAACAGCAGTTTCTTATTCATGCTTTTCTTTCCAATGATATAGAATGATTCATTTCAGTCAGTATCATCTATATTGGTAAATCCTGCCAAATCACAAAATACACTGTGAGGAAAGTTACAAATGTATCAGGACCCAGTGGCAAATTTAGAATTTTACAAAGTAATCTCTATATTTATAAAGTAAAAGCCCTAAGAGAGGGAGAAAGACATAATAATGGAGATGGGTGATATGAGCATAAAAAGGCTCGAGTGCTGCTTTATTAATCTGACAGAGTGGAAGGAAAACAATGTAAAATGAGGCTCATATAAAAAATCATGTGCTGTTTCCTTTCCGGCTAAAAACCAATGATATAAGAGTTAACAGGGCATAACCCTGCATTTCCAAAGTATGTTCCAAGAAACACTGGTTCCCACAACTTCTTCCCTGTCCTTCCTTGCAACCAAAAAACAGTTGCATTTTCAAACAAGTCTGGAAAACTACATATCCTATTATACCCCCATCTGGAAATCAAAGAATTATCAACACATTATAAGTTCTGAGGAGTTCCACAGTAAATAAACCTCAATTGTATTTAATCCAATACTTTCCAAACTTAGTCACAAAATGTTCTGAGTCACTCCTATTAACACCCTGCTAAGTCCACCAAGATTAACTGATTTTGAAAAATTCTAAATTAAAATATTACGTGCAGAAAATCAATAGCTAACTGAAATTTTTATAATTGACAAACATCTTTCCCTTTAATCTCTTAATTCTTTTTTTCTCCTTGCACCTAAGTTTCCAGATTTGTTATCTCTCTTCTTCAAATAACTATTTTCTATTTCTAAGGATGCAGTATGAACTACACATCAATGATAGCCACGCAGAACTTCATAGTCTCCACTAAAAGATATCATTTCCTTTCTGGGTTTTAAATCATTTAGGTGAGAAAAAAACACCCCACTTCCTTATATGCCTCAAACAAAATAAAATCCCAGGAGCCACTTCCCTAAATGATCTCTTTTCTTTCCATATACGTATCAATTTATTTTACTTGACTGACAGAAAAAAGGAAAATATGATGAAAGCAACTAAACATATTCTCTTAGAAAAAGTCCAACCCCTTCTTACATAAAATAGGCAGGACCAGACAAAATTTTAATTAGCTATCCACCCCTCGCCCTATATACTTCGTTATTTTTACACTTTCTTTTAAAGTTTCCTTTCTAATATCTATGCTGCCAAATACCTGGGAATTAATCAGCAAACTGAATATGAAAATTAATCCATAACAGCTCTGTGACCATAGTTAACCTTAACTCAATAGAGGTAACATTTATATTTGTTAGTACATAAAAGAAAAAACCATGCCAGGAACAGAAAACAACTTGAAGCAAGTAATAGTTTGTAACAACTCAGCTTAGGCTCCAGTTGTGCACTGAATAAATAAAAGACCTCAAGGACCAGCAAAGCTTTAGGAAAAGTTACCCCATTTGGTACTTACTGAGTTTTTAAACTTAATGAAGTTGGTGCCATTATTTAATTAAACAATATTACACAAAGAAAAACAATAAGAGTAATAAGTTATGATATATATCTCTTCTCCAATCAGTATCTGTGGTATTTAATAATTCTAAACTCCCTGCCTTTAATTAAGAGCTTTACCTCTACAATGATTTATTTCATATTCCTAAAGAGTTATTTTAATTAGCACAGTGAAAAACACCAAACATACATCTAATTCTCTAGTTTTATATTTCTATTCCTAACCCAATCTAATAGATTGGCCAAGAAAATGTTTTAGTAGTTTAAGATATCACAAAGAAAGAGAGTTTCTATCAGTCACTTACAATGCAAAATAATAGCAAGAGACTGGGTTTTAAAGTTGGACAGACAGGTCAAGCACAGTGGCTCAAGCCTGTAATCCCAGCACTTTGGGAGGCCGAGGTGGGTGGATCTAGAGGTCAGGATATCAAGACCATACTGGCCATGGTGAAACCCCATCTCTACTAAAAACAAAAAATCAGCGGGGCATGGTGGTGCACGCCTGCAGTCCCAGCTATTCAGGAGGCTGAGGCAGGGGAATCGCTTGAATCCGGGAGACGGAGTTTGCAGTGAGGCGAGATCCTGCCACTACACTACAGACTGGAGACTCCGACTCAAAAAAAAAAAAGTTGGAAAGGCAGTTTGATTCCCTGAACCACAACTTGCTCAACACATGACTTTGGGCAAATTATTAAAGCTTTTTAAACTTTAATTACTATATCTGTAAAGTAGGGATATAACTTCTTACTTTTGCAGAGGTCTTACAAAGTTAAATGAGAAAATATGAAGGTGTGCAATAAACAAATATCCTTCCTTTCTGTTTTTTTCTCCTTCTTTCTCTAGACAAGAGTCACATATTCTGCTACCAATGTGTTTTGTAAAAAAAGGTTAAAAAGAGCCGGGTCTGGTGGCTCACGCCTGTAATCCCAGCATTTTGGGAGGCTGAGGCAGGTGGATCATGAGGTCAGGAGTTCAAGACTAGCCTGGCCAAGATGGTGAAATCCTGTCTCTACTAAAAAAATACAAAAATTCGCCGGCACGGTGGCATATGCCTGTAATCCCAGCTACTCAGGAGGCTGAGGCAGGAGAATCGCTTCAACCTGGGAGGCAGAGGTTACAGTGGGCCGAGATTGTGCCACTGCACTACAGCCTGGGTGACAGAGCCAGACTCTGTCTCAAAAAAAAAAAAAAAAAGTTAAAAGAAAAACAACTGCTGTGATTGTCTAAGGTGTCTAGTACTTCAACCAGCTTTACGCTGTTCAGGATTAGCCATCCAGTTCATGCATAATCCATAATCCATACCCTGTTTTTCCTTTCTAGCCTTTCTGTTATTTGCCTTCTGATAAAACAATGTTCTTAAGTTCCACAAGGAACAATATACATTGGAAATAAAGGGGCCTAAAGAAGGAAGTGTGGAGAAACAGACCCCAGGTCCAGGGAAAGAAAGCAGTGGTTATCAAGTGGTGTATGTGCCAAATTAATTCTGTGTATTAAGTCTCTGCAACCCCTGTGTCATCTGTCTCTTTCCTATATTCCTGTCAACGGAGAAACACTGGCAGTTCATGTGTAAAAGGCGGAAAAACAAATCATCAATGTATACATTTTAAATACATGAGGATTTATTTGTCCTTAGTAGCTATATAAATATAAAAGATTTGTGTATAGAGAAGGTAGGCAAAAGGAAACAAAGCATTCGTTAAAGGAGGTTTTTAGCTAATTTACAAATTTCATTTAATTATATATTCTGTCCTTCATTACATGATAAATCAAATATTGGCTGAAAGACTAAACAGCAAAATATTTAGAAATTTGTTATTGTACTAGAAATGTATACACTAAAAACAAAACATTTTCAAAACTAAAACAGGTTTTTGCAGTGCTCCATATAGGTTAGGTCCATTATTCCCCTAGGAAAAGAAACACTCTAAGCTCGGCCGGGCGCGGTGGCTCACGCCTGTAATCCCAGCACTTTGGGAGGCCAAGGCGGGTGGATCACGAGGTCAAGAGATCGAGACCATCCTGGTCAACATGGTGAAACCCCGTCTCTACCAAAAATACAAAAAATTAGCTGGGCATGGTGGCGCATGCCTGTAATCCCAGCTACTCAGGAGGCTGAGGCAGGAGAATTGCCTGAACCCGGGAGGCGGAGGTAGTGGTGAGCCGAGATCGCGCCATTGCACTCCAGCCTGGGTAACAAGAGTGAAACTCCGCCTCAAAACAAAACAAAACAAAAAAAAAAAACACTCTAAGCTCAACATGCTTTCATGCTGGAGATCTTGCAGCGCCTCTTTCCAAACTTTGAGCTATTCTTTACAAACGTCATTATGCTTGGCCAAGAGCAGGCAGACGACATCTTTCTTATTCTTCAGTAAACATGAAATGTGATTGACTGATCCTGTATTTGGGACTATACTATCTGACTGACTTTCCCATCTGGGAGCTGACTCGCATGCTTCCCTCATAACTATGCAGATTCCACTAAAAAATGTCATATATTCTAGCAAGTGAACTGATTGCTGTGGTACCAGACTTACCCATTGTGAGTTACAAGGCACTGCCTCAGCCCCAGCTTTCGGAAAATATCCACCACAATCTCCATTGGGGTGTGGTCTGTCACTGTGAAAGGACTCATGTCAAGGATGCTTCGAAGCTTCAGTGGCCGAGGACTTTCTGCTGGAAGAGATGGGGTGTGCTGCGCAAAGCACACCCGAGAACTGCCAACAATACCTTCTTGCTTTTTTCTGGCACTTTCTGAAAAAAGAGAGAGAGAGAGAGAGACCAACACTTTAAAAATGACAGATTTTTAAATAGGCAACCTGTTTATTCAGAGATTAAAAAAAAAATCCATGTATCCTGTGACTTCTGATTGCTTTATTTTTTCCTATCTTCTCCTTAACCAAGAAAGGAGTCAACTGAAAAGCCATTTAGCAATTTTTTATATCTGATTGAATTAGAAGCCAATTAATAATAATATCATCTTCATGGAAAGAATTTTTTGGTAAAGTTCTATCATTGCACAATTTTCTTAACTGCTGTTTTCTAACTTGGGGGCTAAGGAATGGGTTTGGAATATGGGATTTAAAAACCTGCACAAATTCTGAGCACAGTTTATTATAGGAATTCATCATCAAATGAAGCCTGCCTCTGCTGAATATTGCTTATTCTGCACTGGAGGTGGCACTAAAGAGTGTTTCATCCTTGCTTTCACTATGTGTGTCCTCCATCCCTATGAATTCGCTGGTTCTTTTCCTTTTCTCAGGTTGAAGTATAATTTTCTAGGAGTGTCATGAACATTACAGATGAGATCAAACTACAATTATGCAGATGATGCACACAGACTGATCTTTGGGGACTATCTTCTTTGTAAAGGCTTTGTTAATTTCTCCTCTCCAGTGTGCTCTGCCTGAAGTTCTGTCCTGCTGCCTACTTCTACTCCACCTTTAAAGGAATTAAAAAAAAAAAAAAAAATCTGAATGAAAGTGCTGATAAAAAAAAAAGAAAGTGCTAGATAGGAAGTAGCAAAGATGGAGAAAAGTTCAGAGATAACACAAGACAGAAGGAAACTCAACAGAGAGAATTTGAAAACAGTCATTCAGCTTTATGTTTCTACTTTGAGTTAATATTAAAACTGAGTATATACAAATATGGTATTTGTTATAGTGAAAATATTTTGGCCAGGTGTGGTGGCTCAGACTTGTAATTCTAACACTTTGGGAGGTTGAGGTGGGAAGATCACATGACACCTGCAGTTCAAGACCAGCCTGGGCAACACAGGGAGACTCTGTCTCTACCCAAAAAAAAAAAAATTAGCTGAGCATGATGGTGTGCACTTGTGGTCCCAGCTAACTGGGAGGCTGAGGTGGGAAGACCACTTGAGCCTGGAAGTCAGGGCTGCAGTGAGCCATGATCATGCCACTGCACTCCAGCCTGGGTGACAAAGTGAGACTGTCTCAAAAAGAAAAAAATATATATTTTTTTAACGCAAATTTTACTGCAAAAATATTTAAGCCATAATAAGCATCAGTCCTAAATTGAGAAGCAGGTATTACTGCAAACACTGCACTGCTTTTTACTCTTTTGAATACTATAGTCTTTTTATTTTTTTTTTTAATTTTTGAAACAGTCTCGCACTGTCACCTAGGCTGGTGTTCAGTGGTGCGATCTTGGCTCACTGCAACCTCCACCTCCCAGGTTCAAGTGATTCTCCTGCCTCAGCTTCCTGAGAAACTAGGATTATAGGTGCCGGCCACCACGTCCAGCTAATTTTTTAATTTTTAGTAGAGACGGGGTTTCACTATGTTAGCCAGGCTGGTCTTGAACTCCTGACTTCATGATCCGCCCGCCTTGGCCTCCCAAAGTGCTGAGATTACAGGCGTGAGCCACTGTGCCTGGCCCGCTATAGCCTTCCTAACTACATTCTAACACATTTGAGTAGGAAGGCACTAAATAAAGTCCCAGCAGTTAGTACTTACTCGACCATCTTAAAAGCATGATCAGGCTGGGTACGGTGGCTCACACTTGGAATCCTAGAACTTTGGGAGGCCGAGGTGGGTGGACCACCTGAGGGCAGGCATTTGAGACCAGCCTGGCCAATGTGGTGAAACCTTGTCTCTATTAAAAATACAAAATTAGCCAGGCGTGGTGGTGCATGCCTATAGTCCCAGTTACTCGGGGGGCTGAGGCAAGAGAATTGCTTGAACCCGGGAGGCAGAAGTTACAGTGAGCCAAGGCTGCACCATTGTAGTGACACTCTGTCTCAGAAAAGAAAAAAAAAGGATTATCATGGCATAGAAAAGGAGATCATCCATTAGCAACTGACATAAATGATTTTTGAAAAATAACCATTAAGTTGCTTTTAGCTCATAACAATCTGACTAACCACTGAAGGGTGTCTGACAAATGAATGGTGAGTATAAAAACTACTAGACATATCATTAATGGATTCACAAAATAAAAAGATGTAAACTTTGACATCAATAGTATAAAATGTGGACAGGGGAAGTAAAACTCTTTAGTTTTTGCATGCAACTGAAGTTAAGTTGTTATCAGAAATATATAGTCAAATTCAGAATGCTCTAAAACTGCAGTGGGGTTTGTAAATCCTTTCTAACTCTAGTATAAAAGTTGAAAGGCAAAAGAATTAAAAGTAACTATAGCAAACCAGGTACAGCGGCACGTGTCTGTAATCCCAGCTGCTTAGAGGTGGAGAAGAGGGGATTGCTGAAGCCCGGGAGTTCAAGTCTACCCTGGGCAACACAAAGAGCTTACCTCTAAAAAAATAATAACTATAGCTAAAATTATTCCTTATTCGATATACAAATAAAAACATGTGAATTGTGACATTAAATAGAATAATGTTGTGAATTTAAACCCCAATTACCAATCTTAAATACTGACAAAATAACAAACATTATATCATCAATGAAATTATATTGTTTAAACATTTAATGACAAAATATGTAATTTAAATTTTTAAAAAATTATTAAATGGACTGTTCCTCATATATACAAAGTACCAGAAGTGAACATTCAATCTCTGACTTAAATTTGTCATTTAAAAAATAACACTTTCACTGGGCGTGGTGGCTCACACTTGTAATCCCCGCACTTCAGGAGGCCAAGGCAGGTGGATCTTTTGAGCTCAGGGGCCTGAGACCAGCCTGGGCAACATGGCAAACCCTGTCTATATAAGAAATATAAAAGTCAACCAGTGGTGGTGGTGCGTGCCTGTAGTCCTAGCTAATCAGGACAATGAGGGGGGAGGATCTCCTGAGGATAGGGAAGTGGAGGTTGCAGTGAGCCAGGATTGTGCCACTGCACTGCAGCCTGGCAAACAGGGTGAGATGTCTGCCCCAAAAAATCATTTTTATTCTTTCATTTCATTTGAAAGTTGCTAAAGAGAGAGATTTTAAATCTCTCTTAAATTAAAAAATTCGGAGTTAATTAGCTTGATTTAATCATTCCATAATATATACATCACATAAACCGTTTTTATCAATTAAAAATAAATTTTTTCAAAAAAGTATCGCTTTTACATAAAGAGAGTTCTGTTGCTGTTTTTTTGATTTTTTAGAGACAGGGTCTCACTTTGGACTCGAGAGTCCCAGGGATCCTCCTGTATCAATGTTGCCAGTAGCTAGGACTACAGGTACGTGGCACCACACCTGGCCAATTTTTTTTTTTTTGGTAGATGCTGGGGTCCTTCCTATGTTACCCAGGCTGATCTTGATCATGTGCCAACAAACCTCCCACCCTGGAATTACAGGTGTGAACCACCATGCCCAGCTGAATATAATAATTATTTTAACAAGCATTATTTATTAAACATTTTAAAGTACCAGGGTATCTGCTACATTGTTATTTTCATTTTTAAAAAATATCTGCTACATTTTATTTTCATTTTGATGCTGTTCATTCAAAGGCCTTTGAAACTAAGAACATTACAATTTTCATTTTCTGGTATGATTCAGGCTTTTTTTTTTTTTTTGAGACAGGGTCTTCTTGCTCTGTCACCCCTGGTGGAGTGCAGTGGTGCGATCTTGGCTCATTGCAACCTCTGCCTCCCGTTCAAGCAATTCTCCTGCCTCAGCCTCCCAAGTATCTGGAATTATAGGCATGCATCACCACGCTCATGTGTTTTTTTGTGTTTCAGTGGAGCCAGGGTTTCACCATGTTGGCCACCTGGTCTCAAACTGATCCATCCGCTTCAGCCTCCCAAAGTGCTGGGATTACAGGCATAAGCCTCCACGCCTGGCCTCAGACATTTTTCTTAAAGTCTCAGCATTCCTGTTGTAATAGCCCTAAGTAATCTGAGACATCTCATTTGGATTTACTTTCTACAACATTCTGCCTTAGTATGAAATGGCAATGTAATTTAGCATATTTCAACCATCTATTTTATGAGACAGCATGGAAATTTTTTTTGTCCTTTGATGAAGTATTTATCATTATATATAAAAATTATATGTATTATATGATGTAGCTATATATAACATATGCATTTTTAACTTATATACAGACCTGTACACTAAATTCTATATATATAACCTATACATAATTATGTTAATATTTACATAATTATATATGTATAATTATGATTTATAATTTACATAATTATATATGTATTATGATTTATATAAAATTAATATTTACACATATAATTTTCATGTATAATATAAATTAATATTTACATATATAATTTCCATATATAGATATGTATTTTTAATATATAGAAGATAATCTCTCCCATATGAAAGATTACATAAGCTATGTTTATACATATGTACTATATAAAAACATGTTTATACATATATAAAACTATATATAATATATACATATATAAAACTATATGTAATATATAAAATTACATATATAAACATATATAACGTATATAAATGTATATATGTAATTTTCAATTTATATATCTATATATAAAGCCAAGTATATAGGTCTGTTTTTCCCAGTTAAATACTTGAAACTACAAAAACATATGTGGGTAAAACATTTAAGGCGTGCTTAAAAAGTCATGTGAGTAACATTTCTGATGACATGGCTTAACACCTCACATACAAAAGTACCCTCATTTCCTTAAACCAACATGATCTCCTATCTTGATATTCTCTCCCTCAAGACAGTAACACGACTTTAACAAATCCATCCACAGAATCACTGGGATAATGAATAGTTCTTAATTTCCGCACTTTAAAAACCTGCCTGGCCTTTTTGCCTTAATTTTCTACATAAACACCAAAATCCTGACCTCCTTTTTCTTATCTTTGGCCAGCTACTAGTAAAAATCAGAGAATGGAAATCTTAAACAATGAAATTCTTTTCTGACTAGGTCTACCCATGGTAATGGCTAAAAAACTAAAACATTTGGCCAGGCATGGTGGCTCATGCCGTAATCCCAGCACTTTGGGAGACTGAGGCAGGTGGATAACAAGGTCAAGAGATTGAGACCATCCTGGCCAAAATGGTGAAACCCTATCTCTACTAAAAATACAAAAATTAGCTTGGCATAGTGGGACGCACCTGTAGTCCCAGCTACTCAAGAGGCTGAGGCAGGGGAATCACTTGAACCCAGGAGGTGGAGGTTGCAGTGAGCTGAGATCACACCACTGCACTCCAGCCTGGCAAGAGAGCAAGACTCCAGAAAAAAAAAAAAAAAAAAAAGAAGAAGAAGAAAGACAGACTTGAATACAGCCAAACATGAGAAAATATTTTGTCATCTGCTCTGGCAACTGTATTAGCTAAGTAAAATTTAGAATGATGGGATTGCTAGGCCTTGAAAAATCCTTCCAAAACTAGCCTGTTTCCAAACTGAACAGGGTGTTCTCTGCAGCATCTTTTTTCTTTTCCTTTCTTTTCTCTCTCTCTCTGCTTTAACAGTTCTTACAAATTAAAGAGTTTCCAGTTTGAATTGAGAAATACTCCCCTACATACGCTGTCTGGTCTTGTGCCATTCAAGTGGTACAAAAATTATTTCTCAATCCTTTGCAATGGCCACAGAAGTAAGCTGGAAGGGAGAAGACATGCTCACAGGAATGACCTTTCAGACAGTAAAGGCTTGACACTTCCATGCGGGATACGGGACTAAAAACTGGGGAGTACCAAAGCAATGGCTTGAGGTACCTATCCTCGATCACTTTTAGGGGTTGGAGGCAGAGATTTAAGATTGTGTAAAAAAAAAAAAATTAAGTCTCAATGCCTCCTTATCAATATTGCAGGACTATAACGTAAGGGGAAAAACAAATTTTAGAGAAATACAACTGCTTCCTCTGCAGAAAGTTTAATTTATCTTCAAGAAATATACTCTGGCTAATACCTTTGAACAGTAGTCTGCATACAAAATAACAGGACTGATATACTTTTTCAACCTGGCATTTAATCAGAAACAAAAATCTCAATGATTGCCACTTATCATCAGATATTTTAAGTTCATATTGTAAACCTAACTCCAAAGAATGATAAAGCCAAATGGTGTTAATCTAATATGAAAGAGACCAATGAAGATGAGGTTTTCAACAACCCGTATTCCAATAAGCCAACTTTATTAAATACAAGAACGTATTTGGCTGAATGTATTTGGCGAAGGTCTTTATATTATAAGCTATTTTAAATAACCAAGATCAACTTATCAAGGCTTATCTGAGTGAGAAAAGAATCTGACTCCAGTTTCTGATAACGATGCCAGATCAAAAGATAAAACTGTATTTAGCAGAAAACAATCCACTGAAGCATATCTTCCTTTCCTTTCCTAAAGAACATAAGATTTTGAGGGATACAAAATAACATCTCTGCCGCCACAAATCCAACCCATTAAATGTGACTGTTTACTCTTTTCCTTTCTTCCAGAAATCTATCTCATATATACATATATATATATATATATATATATATATATATATTTTTTTTTTTTTTTTTTTTTTTTTTTTTTTTTTTTTGAAAAGGTACCTATTGCAATTGTCAGGTCTCTTCTGAGGGCAAATCCCACTAATCTCTGAGATTCTTTTGACATGATGACAGGAAATCCATTGTAGCTGGTTTCATTAATCATGTTTTCTATATCATCCACTGTCATATTGTCCTGTGTCAGGACAGCTAAGGGAGGATCGTTCCTTCGAGGTCTCATGACATCAGCAGCCAGGGTGGTATGAGTGAATTCTTCTTTTGCATCCAAGAAAGGGTATCCATTTAATCGGATGTGTGCTTCATAAATGCCTTCCCTACCAAAGGCATCTCCAACCCATTTACTGGTCATTACTGCAGCCATAAGGGGAACAATATACTCCAAACCTCCAGTAAGCTCAAAAACAATAACCACCAGGGAGACAGTCATTCTTGTCACACCACCTGAAAAAAGTAAGCACACCCTAGTTAGGAAGGCCAGGATCCTCATCATTACATTTCATTAGAATTTTTGCACTAGGCAGTTAAAACCAAATTGTAAATAGAACTCAGGCAGGGAAAGGCATTATCGTCTGAAACTGCTACTCCTCTTTTAGGACAATAATCACTACTTTTAATAAGATCTAGAGAAACACCAATTTTCTTTGTTTATAACACAGAAGTCTATTAAAATAACATTTAAAAAACTGTTTATTTCATATTTTAAAAAATCAAAGCTTATCAACTAAAAAATTTTGCCATTCTGGTTTACTGCTGTAGCAAAGACATAATTTCACCCTTATAAAAGCTGATTCTAATTATTAAGGAATTTGGTAAAGCACGTCATGGTTATCTTGTTTGCCACCAATTTACAAATTAAACTCACATATGGGCCGGGCGCAGTGGCTCACGCCTGTAATCCCAATACTTTGGGAGGCTGAGGTGGGTGGATCACGAGGTCAAGAGATCGAGACCATCCTGGTCAACCTCACCTCTATTAAAAATAAGAAAAATCAGCTGGGCATGGTGGCGCGTGCCTGTAATCCCAGCTACTCAGGAGGCTGAGGCAGGAGAATTGCCTGAACCCGGGAGGCGGAGGTTGCGGTGAGCTGAGATCACGCCATTGCACTCCAGCCTGGGTAACAAGAGCGAAACTCCATCTCAAAAAAATAAAATAAAATAAAAATAAAAAAATAAATTCACATATGGGTAGAATATTAACATAAAAAATTTCTCCTCTAAATTTTTTCAAAAGGAGTAAAATATTTTGATGCCTCTGATTTACATTAATGATGCAAGTAATATCTAGTCACAGAAAACCATCTGGGCTAGGCTCAGTGGCTTATGCCTGTAATCTCGGCACTTTGGGAGGCCAAGACAGGAAGACTGCTTAAGTCCAGGAGTTTGAGACCAGCCTGGGAAATACAGTGAGACTCCGTCTCTACAAAACTTAAAATTACAAAAAGTAGCCAGGCATGGTGGTGTATGTCTGTGGTCCCAGCTATGTGAGAGGCTGAGGTGGAAGGCTTGTTTGAGCTGGGGGTGGGGGGCCCGCAGTGAGCTGTGTTCACACTGCCTACGGGCCCCTTTCTCAGTATTCTCACTGTTATCAACCCAGTCCAAGCCCTCATGACTTTATTGCGGTTTTACTTTGTACTTTTTAAGATTTGGGGTCTCATTTGGTTTCCTAGGCAGGTCTCAAACTCCTGGGCTCCCACGATCCTCCCATCTCAGCCTCTTCAGTAGCTAGCATTATAGGCGTATGCCATTGTGCCTAGCTATTCCTTAATTATAATACCATATTATCTTACCTCCTTGACTCCAGGCCCCATGACCGCTTTATAAGACATGTTCCCTGGCTAATCTTTCCTAAGTACAACTATCACTGTGTTGCTCCTTTGCTCAAACACCTACCAGGGCTTGTCAGTTCGTACTGTATTAAGCTCAAGCTCTTCCTTTGTGTCTTTTACCTAAAAATAGAAGGGAGACAGATCCTACCATACATTACATACCTACCCGATGGCAGTCCTGTCCTAATCAGTTTACAATGACTTGTTTTTCAAATTAAGTACTTATTTTACCAGGCACTATTATCGCAGCTTTACATGCATTTTATGTCATATAATCCTCAAAACAATCCCAGCAGAACATTAGCTGTCATTTCCATTTTATATAGAGAAAATCAATTCAAGAAGGAACTTTCCCAAAGTCATCAAACTAAAAATGGCAAAGCTAGGATTGCCACGAATCTGACCAACTTCAAATATAAAATCATCCTTACATAAACCACGTTGTCTTCATAATCTGTTCCTTTTCACCAATCCAACTTCATTTTCCAAAGGTGCCGAAAATGTACTCTCTACTGAGTCAATTTCTTCAAAGCCTCATGAATACAAAATTTATTCCCATCCTAGTTCCTTTGCCTTCACATTATAATCTTCAGCAAAGTTACCTTTTCCTTAAATTCTGCTAATCTTTGAAAATAAAGCTCGTGTTCTACTCTTCCTGAAGTGCTTCAGCTCTTTCTCCCCCTACATTCCTACCATATTTAGACTCTTTGAACACTGTATATAATCATTCATATTCCTCACTATTGTATTCTCAGTGTTGATCTTGTTTCCTCAACTTGACTAAAGTGGAGATTGGGTCCAAGTTCTTTTTGTATTATTCACTGTATTCAATGCTAAAAAGAAAGTGGACATTTAATAAATACTTGCTACTTTGGTAAAAATGATTCTGTCCTTCCCTTTTAAATGACATTACATTTTTGAAGATTAGTAATCACATAACTTTTATTCACTACACAAAAATGGTCAAAATGGCAAGTATTATCAAATATTATAACCAAAGTTTAGCTGACATTTTAAATTAAAATAGAAAACTATTTTTTCCTGCCCCAACAGACATTAAATAGATTCAAGTACATAATGCAGGTATTTTGCTTTTCTTCTCATTAAAATGAATAGTTACCTTTTCTAATTTTATTAAGAAATTAAGAAATCAAAGATCTCTTTGGTCAGGATTCAAATTAAGCTTCTGTTGTACTTCGATGGCTTCTGCCATAAAGCATTAGGTTATATTACAATATGCTAATGCCATTAAATTTTTGTATTAAAAAATGTTGTAAGACAGAAAACCAGTGCTGCATAATACCTTAATGGTACTACCGTTTCTTTTCTGTTAAAACATTTCCTCCCTGAACTGTCCTTCACTCAACCAATCTGCTCACCAATTATGCAAGGATGTGTCCTACTTTCTCCTGGCTCTCTCAGACTCACAAACATCCACACACAAGCAGACATAGTCACATTACCTAAGCATGCGGCAGCACCAACCATGGCATACAGGCCCGGTGTGATGCAGTCGGCCCCGACCTCACACCATTCCTTGAAGATAAACCAGTCGTGGTGATAATAGGCAAGCTGCTCCACCGCAATGCCCACAATCCTGCCTGCGATTGCTCCGATGGCCATGCTGGGGATGAACAAGCCTGATGGAACCTGGAACAACAACAGAACTCCTAATGAGGCAGAGATCCTCTACTCACAGGCTGAAATTCACATTCTACACATGCTTTCTAATACTTGACTCTTTTCACACTGTATTCACACTGCAAAATCCTAGTACAAATAAAATGTAACAACAAAACTCTTAATGAGGCAGAGATCCTCTACTCACAGGCTGAAATTCACATTCTACACATTCTTTCTAATACTTGATTCTTTTCACACTGTATTCGCATTGCAAAATCGTAGTACAAATAAAATATAGCAACAACAGAACTCCTAATGAGGCAGAGATCCTCTACTCACAGGCTGAAAGTCACATTCTATGCACTGTTTCTAACACTCTTGATTCTTTTCACACTTTATTAATACAGCAAAATCCTAGTATAAATAACACTATAGCAAAATCTTGTACCTTAACAATCCCATGAATTCAGTTACAAAATAACAAACCACATTCTCTAGGCCAAAGGGAAAAAAATTCAAGGGTTATTTCCATTAGCTCAAGGCTGCCCTAACAAAATTTTCATTAGTCCATGGTTAAATGAAAAAAAAAAAAAAAAAAAAAAAAAGACAATCTGCTGGATACAATATATACTATTTGGGTGACAGGTGCAACAAAATCTCAGAATATGCCATTATAGAATTCATCTGTGTAACCAAAAACCACTTGTAACACAAAAGTTATTAAAATAAGAAATATGTATTTTTTAAAAGGACAATATATTTTTCATAAAATCAAAATGATTCAGTTTGAAGCACTGTCTTTTACTTCAAGATTCTGTCCTCCTACAGATTTACAAATGATGGAAACGGAAGATGCTAGTCATCTGAAGTCGCACAATGTTAAGTGAACAGACTTATCAGAGTTGCCCAAAATTCTGAGAGATATACTCATAATAAATCTCGTTTTATTATGCTTTGTGTTACTGTGCTTCACACATGTTGCAGTTTTTACAAATTGGAGGATCAGGTCAGTCCATCATCACTACTATTCTAACAGCATGTGCTCACTTTGTGTCTCTGTATCACATTTTGCTAATTCTCTCAATACTTTGAAACTTTTCACTATTATTATATCTGTGACAGTGCTCTGTAATTAACAATCTTTGACGTTACTGTTACAATTGTTTTACCGCGCCATGAACCAAGCCCACAGAAGAAAGTGAACTTAATAAGCGCTGTATGTGATCTGACCGCTCCATCACTGGCTGGTCTCGTCTTTCTCCCTCTCCTTGCGGCTCCCTATCCCCTGAGACTCAACGATACTGAAATTAGTCCAACTAAGAAACATACAATGGCCTCTAAGTGTTCAACTGAAAGAAGTCATGTCTCTCAGTTGGGCATGGTGGCTCAAGCCTGTAATCCCCAGCACTTTGGCAGGCTGAGGTGGGCAGATCACTTGAGGCCAGGAGTTCGAGACCAGCCTGGCCAACATGTCAAAACCCCGTCTCTACTAAAAATACAAAAATTAGCCAGGCCTAGTGGTGCACGCCTATAGTCCCAGCTACTCAGGAGGCTGAGGCAGAAGAATTGCTTGAACTCAGGAGGCAGAGGTTGCAGTGAGCTGAGATGGCACCCCTGCACTCTAACCTGAGCAACAGAGTGAGGCTGTCTCAAAAAATGAGTCACATCTCTCACTTTATATCAACAGCTAAAAATGGCCAGGTATTATGACTCACACCTGTAATCTCCATGCTTTGGGAGGCTAAGGCAAGAGGATCACTTGAGATCAGGAGTTAGACTAGCCTGAGCAACATAATAAGATCCCATTTCTAAAATAAATAAATAAATAAATAATAGCCAGGTGTGGTGGTGCATGCCTGTAGTCCCAGCTACTTAAGATGCTGAGTCAGCAGGATCACCTGAGCCCAGGAGTTCAAGGCTACAGTAAGCAATGACTATGCCATTGCATTCCAACCTGGGTGACAGATCAAGATCTTGTCTCAGAGAAATAAAATAAGAAGGCTAAAAATGACTAAGCTTAGTGAAGAAGGCATGTTGAAAGCTGAGAGACACGAAAGTCTCAACTTCTAGCCGCAGTCGGCCAAGTCATGAATACAAAAGAAAATTTCTTAAATTACAAGAGCCACTTCAGTGAACACACAACAATAAAAAATGTAAAACAGCCTTATTATTGATATGAAGAAGGCTGAGTGGTCTGGAGAGAAAATCAAACCAGCCACAATATTCCCTTAAATCAAAGCCTAATCCAGAGCAAGGCCCTGACTTTCTTCAAGTTTATGAGGGCTTAAAGAGGTAAGGAAGCAACAGAAGAAAAACTGGGAGCTTACAGAGGTTGGTTCATGAAGTGTAAGAAAATAAGGTGTCTCGTAACACAAAAGTGTAACGTTAAGCAGCAGGTGTTGATGTAGAAGCTGCAGGGTGATACAGAAGATCTCACTGGGGTCGCTGATGAAGGTGGCCACACTGAACAACAGATTTTCCACACAGACGAAACAACAGCCTTCTATTGGAAGAAGGTGTCAGCTAGGACTGCCACAGCTAGAGAGAAACAGCCAATGCTTGGTTTCAAAGCCTCAATGGACAGCCTGACTCTCTTGGTAGGGGCTAATGCAGTTGACGACTTTATATTGAAGCCAGTGCTAGTTTACCATTCTGAAAATCCTAGTGCCTTTAAAACTTATGCTAAATCTACTCTGAGCTCTATACAAACAGCAAAGCCTGGATAACAGCCTATCTGTTTACAGCATGGTTTACTAAGTATTTTAAGCCCAGTTGAGACCTACTGCTCAGATGAAAAGATTCCTTTCAAAATATTACTCATCACTAATAATGCACCTGGTCTCCCGAGAGGTCTCATGGAGATGTGCAAGGAGATTCACGTTGTTTTCTTGCCTGCTAACACAATATCCTTTATGCAGTCCATGGATAAAGGACTAATTTTTAACTTTTAAGTTTTACTAAAGAAATACACTTCTTAAGGCTATAGCTGCCATATATAGTACTTTTGTTACAGTGGGTAGCTAGTCAGGAATGTGCAGGGCAGGCAAGGAATCCCCCCAAAGCCAACAGGAATGTCAGGCAACCATCAGGTGATGATAGTCAGGCAGCTCTAACATTGTCCCCCTAAAATAATAATTGGTCGCAGCCAGTGCCAGGGAAAGGCAGTCTTCCAAAAGATAGAAACACCTGAAACTAGTGATCAGCAGCTTTCCGGTAAGATCTCAGGAGTTGGGTGAGTGGGCTCGGGCATGCGCATTTAGAAGCAAATGGTTTAACTTGTATATGACCTCCTAAGGAGGTCGGTAAGCAATGAACACCTCAGGAAGCATGCATACAACTCCAGTAAATACCCTGCGCACATGCCCCTCCCAAGTGCTAACAGGCCACTGTGCATGTGGGCAGCTCACCCCAAAAGAATAGATGGAAAAAGGATGCCAGATGCCGGAAGTATGCCAACATATAAAACCCTAAGTCCAAGGTCAAATGGGCACTTGTCTTTCAAGATGCCTGCTTGACCCTCTTTCAAGTGTATTTTAATTTCTTTTCATTTCCGCTCTAAACCTTTGTAATAAACTTTCACTCTCGTTCTAAAACTTGCCTTGGTCTCTTTTTCTGCCTTACATCCCTCAGAATTCTTTCCTCTGAGGCTGCAAGGGTTGCGGTTGCCGAAGATCTGTATGGATTTGTCCCTGATAACTTGGATACCCACCACCGATAACAATTTCTCTGATGGATCTGGGCAAAGTAAATTGAAAATGTTCAAAAAAGTATTCAACATTCTAGATGCTATCCAGAACATTCATCTTTCATGGGAGAAGGTCAGAATATCAATATTAACGGGAGTTTGGAAGAAGTTAATTCCAGCTCTCATGGATGACTTTGAGGGGTTCAAGACCTCGGTTGAGGAAGTAACTACAGAGTGGTGGAAACAGCAAGAGAACTAGAATGATACGTGGATCCTAAAGATGTGACTCAACTGCTAAAATCTCATGAACAAACTTGAATGGATAAGCAGTTACTTCTTATGCATGAGCAAAGAAAGTGGTTTCTTGAGGTAGAATCCACTCCTGGTAAAGATGTTGTGAACATTTTTAAAAGGACAAAAGATTGAGTTTTCCATAAACTTAGTTGATAAAGCAGTAGCCGGGTTTGAGAGGATGATTCTAATTTTGAAAAGAAGTTCTACTGTAGGTAAAACGCTATCAAACACCATCACACGCTACAGAGAAATCTTTCATGAAAGGAAGCATTAATTAATGTGGCAAATTTCACTGTTATCTTATTTTAAGAACTGCTATAGCCAGTCCTACCTCCAGCAACCACCAATATCAAGGCAAGACTCTATACAAACAAAAAAGATTACAACTCACTGAAGACTCAGATTACTGTTAGCATTTTTTAGCAATCAAGTATTTTTAAATTAAGGTATTATTTTTTAAAAGACATAATGCTACTCTACATGTAACAGACTACAGCACGGTGTAAAAAGAAGTTTTATATGCATTAAGAAACCAAGACATTTATGTGACTCTCTTTATTATGATGTTCACCTTTATTGTGATGGTCTGAACCAAACCCGTATCTCTCAGGTAAGTCTATTTATATGAATCAAATAAAAAGCAAAAAATATTTATTGATTAAACTTAATGAGAATAATAGGGATAAGAAGCACCATACGCAAGATCATTCAAAGACTACTGAAAGAGGCCAAGCGCGGTGGCTCATGCCTGTAATCCCAGCCCTTTGGGAAGCAGAGGTGGGTGGATCACCACAGGTCAGGAGTTCAAGACCAACCTGGCCAACATGGCCAAATCCCGTTTCTACCACAAACACAAAAATTACCCAGGCGTGATGGTACACACCTGTACTATCACCTACTTGGGAGACTGAGGCAGGAGAATTGCTTGAACCTGGGAGGTGGAGGTTGCAGTGAGCTGAGATTGTGCCACTGCACTCCAATCTGAGTGACAAAGTAAGACTCTGTCTCAAAAAAAAAAAAAAAAAAGACTACTGAAAGAGTAATAGTTATGACCCTTCTGAATATGAAATGAGCCAAACACAAAATGATGGCATGTTTGAGTCTATTAGGATACTAAAAGGATATACAATAGAAAAAAATCAGTGTGTTTTACACTCTCTTGCCAGGTCTGATCCTTCAGCCAGAGCTGAGTTAACGGTGGGACTTGATAAAGGGCTGCCAATTGCCTTCAGTTTCTTGTAGCTCAACTGACTGTGAGAAAGTTGGGATTTACAGAACACTTACTTATTGTAGAAAAAAGAGCTTTAACAGCTTTTAACTTGATCCCCTAAGAAAAAATGTAAAACTTCAAGGCTTTTCTATTATTTAACTGTTGATAATCAGTGGACTATAGACTGAAGATAAAAGAAAAGAGACCTTATTTGAAAAACTAATACCACTCCAATTTTGTAGAAACAGAGCTGTTATTCCACATTAATTTACATCTGTAAAAGCACATTACCACCAGCAAATACTATTCCAAAAGTACAGGTGTAGTAATTTAAAGAACAAGAATAAGCTGATATGTACTTCCCCATATATATCAGCGATAGTCATATAAGAAATTATATTTACTGATAGATCATTAATCAACAAATGTTATTTTATAAATCCAAAAGAAGCCATGTCCCAGGGCATAAGGCCCAGCTGCCTTAATTCCTTGATAGAAAAAGGCATGTATTCATAGACCTAGTAATTTCACTGAGTCTGCAGTGTCTTTAAGCTAACACCCTATACTGGTATGAGGCAGAATAATGGCTCCTCAAGGATGTCCCTAACTTAATTCCCAGAACCTGTGATTCCATTCTGTTATAATGGCAAGGAGGAATTAAGGTTGCAGAAAGAACGTTGCAAAGCAGCTGACCTTAAAAAAGATTATTTTCTGATTTATCTGGGTGGGCCTAAAGTAATCACAAAGGTTTTTCAAAGGCAGAAGGGAGATTCAGCAGTGTTTGTGTCAGAGTGAGACAAGACAAAGACTTGACCAGGCATTGCTGGATTTGAAGACGCAAATAGAGGGCCAGGAGCCAAGGAACGCCGGCAGCTTCTAATAGCCAGAAAAGGCAAAAAACAGACTCTCTCCTACAGCCTCCGGAATGCCCTGTGAACACCTTAATTTTAGCACAGTGAGATCCATTTCAGATTTCTGATCTCTGGAACTGTAAGGTAATAAACCTGTGTGGCTTTTGAGCCAGTGAGTTGTGGTAATTTATTATAGCGGCAATAGGAAACTAATAAAACTGGTTTTCAAACGTGAACATGAATTCTCTGGCACTCATCCCACTAAGCATATGTCCCTGCTCTGAATAGTGGTGGGCCTCTGTGACTGCCTCAATGAGCAGAGTAAAACAAGTCATGCTGCAAGACTTCTTCAGCTACATTAAAAACAGTACTCTTGGCTGGGCGCGGTGGCTCAAGCCTGTAATCCCAGCACTTTGGGAGGCCGAGGTGAGTGGATCACGAGGTCAAGAGATTGAGACCAACCTGGTCAACATGGTGAAACCCTGTCTCTACTAAAAATACAAAAAATTAGCTGGGCATGGTGGCGTGTGCCTGTAATCTCAGCTACTCAGGAGGCTGAGGCAGGAGAATTGCCTGAACCCAGGGGGCGGAGGTTGCAGTGAGCCGAGATCGCGCCATTGCACTCCAGCCTGGGTAACAAGAGCGAAACTCCGTCTCAAAAAAACAAACAAACAAACAAACAAACAAAAAAAAAAACCCAGCGCTCTTGGGATGCTTACATTTAGAATCCTGAGCAATGATGTAAGAAATCCAACTACTCTGAGGCCACCACCCTAGAAAAACCACCGAGACAGAAGGAAATCGAGAGAAAGAGAGTGAGCATGAGTGTGCATGAGAGACAGAGTATGCGTGATTGATCCCAGGAGCCCAGGTGTCTGAATCTTTTCAGTCTAGATGCTAGTCATGAACGAGGAAGTCTTTGAACTACACTCAATAATAATTTAATTGTACACTTGAAAATTATTGAGAGTATAATTGGATTGTTTGTAACACAAGGGATAAATGGCTTGTGATGGATACTCCATCTACCCTGAGATTATTATGCACTGCATGCCTGTATCAAAATATTTCATGTACCCCCAAAACTACATATAGCTACTGTGTACCCATAAAAACATTTTTTTCAAAAGGAAATGAAAAAAAGCAGCTTTGAGATGATTAGCCTTCGCCATATCTAAGAACAACTATATGAAAGACCACAAACAAAAAATGGCCACTGAGCCCTTCCCAAATCGTTGACCCAATATCAAGAACAAAAGTAGTTACCTTAAGCTGTTAAGTTCTGGGGGTAATTTGTTAAATAGCAACAAATAACACCCTCAACAATCTATGCTAAGAAATTATCTTTTCTGTTACTTAAAATTAAACTCAAAAGATAAGTACTTTTATCAGTCACTTATGAAACAACAACCTCTCTCAGTCCATATATAAGTTTTGAACATAAGTTCTGAACCCAAATAGCACCTCACATTAGCACTTACCTTAATACCAAAAGTGAACACTGTCATTATGATTTTAAATATGAGTGCCAGGCATAACTGCCATATAGCTGAATATACTCCAATGCCTGCTGGACGATCAGGAATGTCATCGACAATTTTACTGGCATTCATGTCATTTCTGTAGTCACAGAGAGAAGAGGATTCCAGGGGACCACAGTCTGTAAAGAGCTCTTTGATCAGTTCACTGGTGTTTAGCCTAGTGTATGGATTAGGGAAGGCTATCACAGCAGTGATGGCTGCAACGATAATGACTTCCAGAACGGGGTACTTTCCAAACTTGGTGGACTTGCGTCGACGACACCAGGCAATATTTGCCCTAATGAAAAAGGCTCCCCAAAGCCCTCCAAATACCCCTAGGAGAATAAAAGGAAACAGTTCAAAAAGGTACCATGGTGTATGATACTCCACATAAAAAAGGACCAGACGGCTGTTACCAAATGGATTGATGGATCTCAAAACAAATGCAGCCACTAAAGCAGCAAAAAATGATCTCCATAACGTCTTCAGAGGAAAATAATAGCTAACCTTAAAAAAAAAAAAAAAAAAAAAAGGAAAAGACAAATTAATGCTATCATTTTATAAGATGTGTCTGATACATTATAACTTGAATGGTAAATATCTTAGCTCTAAATTTTGCTGTCATTAGAATTTACATATAATGGATTTTACTATAAGAAGAAAAATTGATGTTATTATTATTTTTGGAGATGGTGATCATCACTACAAAGTCACAATATCAACTGATCATAAATGTCTAATAAATATTTAGAATATCTAGCACTGTTTTATTTTCAAAACGAGTTTCGCATTCAATTCAATGATGGTAGTTAAAAAAGGTGTTCTATCACACAGTAAGGTGACTGCAGTTTATAATAATGTATTCATATTTCAAAATGGCTCAGAGAGGATTTTAAATGTTTTCACCACAAGGAAGTAATAAATATTTGAGGGTTTTGCTAATCACTCTTATTTGATTATTCCTAAATGTATACATGTATAAATGCATCACATTACATCCCCCAAACATAAACAATGATTATTTGTCAAAAAACCCGGATTTTAAAATAAAAATAAAAGGATAAAAACATTCCGGGTCACATTTCTATGTAAAAAGAAAAGTCTTAAACACCTATAAGAAAATAAAAAAACTAAATAATCCACTGAAGGGACTAAAATTATTTCCTTAAACATCAGTAACTGTATCAGAAATAATTGCATGCAAAAAACTTTAAAACACAATAAAGGAATTAATTAAAATGTTTTAAATAAAAACTACTTGGGAGGCTGAGGCAGGAGAATCGCATGAACCCAGGAGGTGGAGGTTGCAGTAAATCAAGATTGTGACTTTGCCTTCCAGTTTGGCTGACAAGAGCAAAACTGCCTCTCAAACAAACAAACAAACAACAACAAAAAACAAAAACAAAAAAAAACCCACTAGCCTGGCCAATATCAATATGGCAAAATCCCATCTCTACTAAAAATACAAAAATCAGCCAATGGGAATAGATCGTGAAACATGTTTCACATGTCCTCTATTAAGTCGAATTCACAACTTCTTACTTTTAAATATGTCAACAAAGTTAGATTTTAGATAATTACTAGTATTTATGCATTAAAAAAAATTTTTTTAAATAGTTTCCTCCAGGTATGGAACATGAGTAACATTTACTTTTTATGTAAGAATGAGTAGAAAACAACTTTAGAAAAATAAATTTGAAAACAAAGTCTGTACCTATTACATCAGCTATAAAACTGAGATGTGTGCTAAGGCAGACCCGCAATGATAATCACATGTGATTCTGATTGTTAGATCCCGTTCACCTACCTCCTCAAGGCTGAAAAGAACCCCTCCAATTGGTGCACCGAAAGCTACAGAAACCCCTGCAGCTGAGGCAGCCGACAGCACCTAGAAAGAAGATGTGGCTTATTTCTTAATTCCTTAGAAACTCACGCACACCGAATAAAAATTCTTCATGTCACTTGAATTTTCCAAGTGGCTTTTCTGAATTTAACTTGCATGTTTGTTTCCTTGCTCCCTAAGCAAAGGGCAGGTATTCATTTATTCTATTAAGATTTATCTTTTTCTCCTGTGCTTTAATTGAAAGGTCACACATTTACTATTCAGTGAAAAAAACCATTTTTGCCAGATATACTAATGTGAATGTGGTATAAAGAAGAGGAGGCAATGGATATAGACAATTTTCAAGATATGTGTTTGTGTAGTTAAGAGGGGAGGGCAGTAACTGGGATGGGGGGTATTTTTAAACAGGATATCCTTTCTTCAAGTTTTCGAGCCAACAGCTCCACCAGAAATAGTCTATTCCAAATCCTAGCAAGATATTCAGAGAAATGAAGACCTAGTAAGATTCTCCGTATTTTACTACCCTATGCCCTCTGAAATACTGCTAAAATACTGTTAATCTAGAGAGCCTCATTCTGAAAGCACACACAACAGCTTCTCAAATGACAATCTCACCAAGCAGCATCTCTACAATAAAATCAAAAGAAAAGAAAAATCCAAGAATACGTTTCTGTGTCCTCTCTCTAGTTCACCAGTCTATCAGCTGGTCAGGATCTACTTCCCACCAGTACTAAGCCAACTACACATATACACATATAATTTCACTAAGGCTTTATTTGTAATTATTTTTCTAAGAGTCTGTATTCCTTTTTTTTTTTTTTTTTTTTTTGAGACGAAGTTTCTCTCTTGTTGCCCAGGCTGGAGTCCAGTGGCATGATCTTGGCTCACTGAAACTTCCGCCTCCCAGGTTCAAGTGATTCTCCTGCCTCAGCCTCCCAAGTAGCTGGGATTACATGCGCCCGCCACCACGCCTGACTAATTTTTGTCTTTTTAGTAGAGACAGGGTTTCACTATATTGGCCAGGCTGGTCTCGAACTACTGACCTCAGGTGATCGGCGTGCCTCGGCCTTCCAAAGTGCTGGGATTACAGGCATGAGCCACTGCGCCCGGCTAAGAGTCTGTATTCCTTTTGCTACTTTAATCCAGCAAATATTCAAGGCTACCTAAAGTAGTTCTTCAAATGGTCAATTGTTACATTTCCAGAAAAGAAATTAAAAGAATCAAAATTAAGCTGTAAATGGTAAGAGCATGAACTCTGTAGCGAGGCTGCTGTGTTGGAATCATGGCTCTGCTACTTACTGGCTGTGTGACTATGGATATACAGCCTCTATGTGCCTCAGTTTTCTCTTCTCTAAACTGGGAATGTGATAGTATTACTTAGCTTTTAAGGAATTGAGTACATATACAGAGAGTGCTTAGAACAGTGCCTGGCACCCAGTAAATACGTCATACAAGTTTGGTGAATTAAAAATAAATAAATAAGTGTTTTAATTAAATTGTTGGCATTAGAATGCAGATTCTGCTTATCTGGGGAGGGAAGGGAGCAAATTTAACTTCCTCCCCCACCCCACTAAAAGGAACGCAAACGCATTGATTTACTTGAATGTCCTGATCCTGCATTTACAACCAAACTAACACCTGTGTATCTATAGCCCACACACGTTTTAATCTGTTTCGTAAGTATCTAAGAAGCATTTAATTTAACAACATCAGTACTCTCCCCTCTTATCTCCATAAAACTATGGGGTCTTAATGCTTTCAACTAACAGTGAAGTCTTGCCATTTATACATATACTAAGGTGACAGAATAACAACGTCTTAAACATTAATCACTAGAGTGTGAATATTAAAATTTAGGGAAACTTAATTTCTAAAACATCTAATAAATTTTATATATATATATACATTTTTTTTTTTCTTTTTTTCTCTTTTTTTCTTTTTTGATGAAACGGGGTTTCTCCATGTTGGTCAGGCTGGTCTCTAACTCCCAGGTGATCCGCCTGCCTCAGCCTCCCAAAGTGCTGGGATTACAGGCATGAGCCACCGTGCCTGGTAATTATATTTTTTTGAACTCAGAATGAGTAAGTAAAAGTCTTACAAAAAAATGTCAAGGTACAACAGGAAGTAAAGGAATTGAACTGAGGAGGCAGCTCTTCTAGCTCCATCTTAGCCACTGACTACACAAACATATACCTACACAGTCGTTGGAGCAGTAATGTAGTGATAAGACCATAGACTTCAGGGTCAAAGAAAAATGAATTTTGATCCACATTCCACCACTCACTAGGTATGTGGTCCTGGGCAAGTTAGTCAGGTCTAGTTTCCTATTCTATAAATGAGGGTAACAGGCCCATATTACTAAATTACTGGGAAACTAAGTTTTAAAATCCAAGTAAAGTATTTGCCACAGTAGCAGATACACATAAAGTAATCAATAATGCTAGCTATTTTGTTGTATAGTGAAGTACTAGAATCACAATTATTCAGAGACGAAACTATGATGATCTGAAGTATTCCACTTTCGGGATAGCTACAGCCAATTCAAGGACTATATTTTAAGGTGAACATTAAAATGTACTAGAATTATTTCAATTGAAGATTAAACCATTTGTTAAGTAGTCTACCTTTTTGGTTATAGGACATAAAAAATCCAAAAAGAAGAAAAGTTTCTGCCAGTATTTAATGAGATTTTTTAAAAAAATCGTATCTTAAAACCCAAAGACCTCTGTATTATCTAGTGCTGCAGATTTAGATTTGCAAACTAGGAAGGGACTGGGCTCCCAAAGTCTAGAGCAATATAAAGGACTCAGGAAAATACCCAGAGCAATCCAGAAACATCAGAGGAAATTCATAATACATATAAGGTTTAAAGGTCTTGTAGAAGATCCAGGCTGGCCTAAAGAAACAGTAAAGGAAATTGCCTTAAACAATGAAATGAAAGGGATTTCCTACAGGAAAATCTCTTTCTCATATTACAATCTCTTTTAATGTGAATTTCTGATTTAAACTTCAGGAGGTTCTAAAGGCCCCCAGAATTTCCCCATGGTGCTGGATAGCTTTTTTCATATCACATGCCACTTACACTGGCACCAGACACTGCCTCCAGGAGGAAAACAAAACTATTAGGATTTCCCAACCTCTTAATGTTGGAAGTTAAGAGTAAAAATCAAAGCTAAGCTTAGAAAACACATCAGAAGAAGAAAGATGTCAGGTGAAGTGAAAACAGAAAGATCTTTGTGAAATGCAACTGAAACCCAATGGACACCAGCTGTCTGTCTAAACCTTCTCTAAAATAAAAGACTGAGCAACATTGGGAACAGATCCTAGAAAAACATTACAGATTATTCAGGAAAAGAAGCACAAATTAATCTCAAATAAAATAGATTATCTGAATACAGAATTTATTATTTTTATACTAAGAAATTCTTTATTTACATAAACTCTATATATAAACAAGTATTTTTCAGTCAAATTAACTTACAAAAGACACTTACCTCCCTTTTTTTAGCTTCATTTGTGCTATACTTTGGAAAGAGGTAGGAAAAGATATTTCCGCAGCAACAGGCAACATGTACCAGGGGCCCTTCTTTTCCTAAACTCAAACCTGATGCCACAGCCAGGACTAATGTGATGGTTTTAATCATTAAAGTCCATTTTCCCAAGTAACCTCTGATGATGAATCCACTCAAAATAGTTTTAATCTACAAGGCAAAGATTAAGGCAGCTTAGTTTCCTTTAGGAAACATAAACCTAAGTTATTTTCTTGTTTTATGCACAAAAACGACCTTGCAAATTTTAGCAACCTATAGAAAAATTTAGTTAATTTTTCAGAAACTTTACCTATTATGCTACATATAATAAATTGGTATCACAATCTAATTCTCTACCCAAAAAAGGAGAGAAGGCAACTCTATCTTAGGAACAAAATCAAAATATCAGGCCATGTTAAAATGAATACAGACCTTAATTATAAGGATTATAATTACATAACCAAGAAAATGGCAAATTGAAATATTTCTGTTGTAAAAGTAAGCATATTTTAAATATATTTTGGACATTGCATCACAAATAAGAATATTACATTTTCACTGAGCACTGTAATTATGTGGCATAGTTTTTTATATATCATGAAAGATGAATTACAACTGTTATATACCGCATGACATTGCTTTTTATGAAAGATATTTTGAACACAACTTTAAAGATCACTACAATTCCATTTTAAAAAGAAATACATTAGGAAAAAGTTGGTGACTTATTTAAATACAGAAAAATAAAAGAGAGAAAATAAATAAATTCAAATCAAATTCAAACAATCCTATGTAAAACTCTATTATGATGAAAAATAAAATTCAAGTTTGTACTATTCACCCACAATGATCAACTACTTTCTCCAAGCATAAAATGGCCAAATTCAAGAATAATTAACCTAACTAATCAAAAGGTGATTATAAACAGAGCATGAATGTATTGAAATCAGGGTCGTAACAGCAAAATATCAACTAATCCATCAAAGAACGTTAGGTCACAAGATACTTTTTCCGAATCTTGATGATCAACTAAATCTTCCGAAAGTTTGCCTAGTCGTCTGTTAAATTAGAGAGATTAAAAAAAAAAAAAATCAACCTCTGGCTGAGTGTGGTAGCTCATGTCTGTAATCCTAGCACACTGGAAGGACGAGGTGGGCAGATCACCTGAGGTCAGGAGTTCGAGACCAGCCTGATCAACAGAAGAAACACTGTCTCTACCAAAAATACAAAAAAATTATCCAGGCATGGTAACGCATGCCTATAACCCCAGCTATTCAGGAGGCTGAGGCAGGAGAATTGCTTAAACCCAGGAGGCAGAGGCTGAGGTGAGTTGAGATCTAGCCATTGTACTCCAGCCTGGGCAACAAGAGTGAAACTTCATCTCAAAAAATAAATAAATAAATAACCTCCATAGTAAATGATCAAATGACTATGGAGAACAGTATTTTTCAATGATGTTTACAGCTTGTACTTAAAAATTTTGTTTTCATATTATGAACAAACCATCCCCTCCCTCCCTTAAAAAAAAAAGTTTACTTTTTTTTTAAAATCACTAAGGGCAAAAAGATAAGCATCAAAATAATGTTTAATGACACTAAATATTACTTGGCTTACCTCTGGAATTCCAGAGCCACAAGCATATGGAGCAAATACCTTTACCAGGGAAACTGCAAGAAAGGCAAAACTCAAGGCCCAGAAGATGTACATTATGTAGTTCATGATGTAAGAACCAGGACCCTAAAAAGAAAATAGTTCAAGAGTATGAATTTAATTTACACTGAACCTCTAATGCAAATGCTTGCCATAAGAAACTTAAGTAAATGGCCAGGCATGGTGGCTCATGCCTATAATCCTAGCACTTTGAGAGGTTGAAGCAGGTGGATCAGCTGAGGTGAGGAGTCCAAGACCAGCCTGGCCAACATGGAGAAACCTGTCGCTTTTAAAAACACAAAAATTAGGCAGGCATGGTGGTGCATGCCTGTAATACCAGCTACTCGGGAGGCTGAGGCAGGAGAATTGAACCTGGGAGGTGGAGGTTGCAGTGAGCCGAGATCATGCCGCTGCACTCTAGCCTGGGCAACAGAGTGGGACTCAATCTCAGAAAAAAAAAAAAAAAAGAAAGAAAGAAAGAAAAAGAAAAGAAACTTCAGTAAAATGTGTAAAAGTTTCCTGGTTTATTTCCACAATAATAAAAGCTTCATGTAAACAAAGCATTTAAGCAGAATCCAAAAATTTATGTCTATATATACCAAGGAGCCTTGAGCCCATTTAATCCTTTTCCTAATCCCTAAAGCAGGTGTCCCCAAACTTTTTACACAGGGGGCCAGTTCACTGTCCCTCAGACCGTTGGAGGGCCGCCACATACTGTGCTCCCTCTCACTGACCACCAATGAAAGAGGTGCCCCTTCCTGAAGTGCGGGGGTGGGGGGGTGCGGATAAATGGCCTCAGGGGGCTGAATTCGGCCCGCGGGCCATAGTTTGGGGATGCCTGCCCTAAAGTCTTGTTACCAAGACATCTCAGCTACATTTCACCTCTGCCTACAAACCACTTTTTGGAACCAGTGGTGGAAACAAATTACATGAGCATTCAGATTTCATTCTGCTGCAACTTTCCAGATCATTAAATAAAACTCAATTAAGCCAAGTGAGAAACAGCATACTACTCATCTTACCGGAAATACATAGTTTTCTTTTTTTTGAGACGGAGTTTCACTCTTGTTACCGAGGCTGGAGAGCAATGGCGCAATCTCGGCTCACTGCAACCTCCGCCTCCTGGGTTCAGGCAATTCTCCTGCCTCAGCGTCCTGAGTAGCTGGGATCACAGGCACTAATGTTTTATATTTTTAGTAGAGACGCGGTTTCACCATGTTTACCAGGATGGTCTCGATCTCTTGACCTCGTGATCCACCCGCCTCCGCCTCCCAAAGTGCTAGGATTACAGGCTTGAGCCACCGCACCCAGCCGCAAATATATAGTTTTTAGCTCTAAAGTTCAGCTAAAACAAAATTTAAAAAACATATCCATATGTCATCTTGTAAAAAATATACCTATGACATCCTAAGTTCTAAAAGGTTCTTTGTAGATCATGGTAAATTAGTCATTTAAATGCTGTAATGCCACAAATAAAAATCTCTGATTTTCTTTAATGTATCTCTACTTAGAAGGTTGATTTTACTAAATTATTTGATCATCATACTTTCATAATTCAACTTCCCAAATTTAGTAATATATTAGTTTTAGTAACTTGACTTTTTAGTAACTTTACACAGATCCTACTGCAATAACTATCACTTCTTTTCTACTACAGCTCAAATAAATTTGCATCACAATCCAGTGGATTTGTTACATGACTACGTAGTTAAGTAATACAAAAGCTTCTTGAAACAATACTGCACTTAATTCTTTCTTGCTGCAGTGTGTTCGAGGTGGATCCATTTAATGTGGATGCAATCATCTAATACGTGATTAATCCTGTAGTTAAATGAATTCAAAACATTTTGCTATATCAATCATTAATTCATCTTGAGACAAAGTGAGAGACTGACCTCCGCTTGACCGATGATTAATTCTGCCCACGTTTTCCACTGCGGACATTTATCCCTCTCTTCAAATGTTGTTTCATTAGATCCCCAGCAGCACTGCTCATGGTTGTACCACAACGCACTAAGGCAAATGCCCTCCTTTAGGTCAGTCATCCAATCGGCAGCAATGTCTATTAATCCGGCCAACGCCCCTGAAAAATAGGTTGTTGATGACCAAAAAAGAAGTCAAATTTTTGGGAGTTGAGAACAATCTAGTTAAAAGGCAAGTGGAAAGCAGGAGACTCCTAAATAAAGGGTCATTTAAGAACCACATGGCCAGGAGTGGAGGCTCACACCTGTAATCCCAGCACTTTGGGAGGCGGAGGCGGGCAGATCATGAAGTCAGGAGTTCGAGACCAGACTGGCCAATATGGTGAAACCCCTGTCTCTAATAAAAATACAAAAATTAGCCATGCATGGTGGAGTTCAACTGTAGTCCCAGCTACTCAGGAGGGACTGGGACTTTAAAATATAAACATATATTTTAAAACTGTAAAGAGCTTTTTACAATAAAATTGCCATTTTTGTTTGGAATTTTTAAAAGTTACATCATTCGAATTAATTGTGATCCAAAAAACAGTGTTTGAAAGATACTGAAATATCTTCAAAAACAACTACTTGGCAGGAGGTTCCCAAATCTAATTTTCAACCCATAACTTAATTAACAGACTTATAAATGATGTCAATGTCATGAAAATTTAAAGTCCATTAGAAATAATTATTGAAACTCATAGGATTCATATTTACAGTTTTTTCTTAAATTGCAGAAAACCATATATCAAGATTATTTTACTGTGAGAATATAAAAAATACACAAATTTATGGTCAAATCTGGGTCCTTCTTCTCACATAAAAAAATCAGTGCATTACATACACAGAGGCCATACAATTATTATGCACACCAATTAGAATTATCAGTACTTCCCTCTATTCTCTATACAACTTTTAATTTTTTTGTGGTCTTCTGAACATAATCTTCCATCATGGAAGCTGAAAGTGATTATAACAATGCTTAACATTTGTTTTCAGGTCCTCGGCAGCGATTTCTTACAATATCACACATTGGGACTTCGTGGTCATGCTGTATAACAGGGTGACGGAGGGAATAGACTCTTGAGCAAAACGGCTTTACTTCAAATCCTGGCTTAGCCACTTACTAAGCTGTAACACATCAGTCAGACTAAGCCACTTTTCTTCTGCTTCAGTCCCCTCATCTGTAAAGCAGCGATAATGACAGCACTGGTACCACAGGATTGCCGTGAGGTCGAAACACATGCACAGTTTTTAGAACAGTGCACAACACATAGGAAGCACTCAATAAATATTGGCTATTTATGATGATCTTAACCTCAAAAGATACTTCACTGATCATCTGATCCAAACTACTTATTTTACAGATGTGGAAACTGAGCCCAGAAACATCAACCAAGCTGGATAAACACTTAAAGTGACAGAGCCAAGACTAGACTTGGAAGCCTCCTGCCTCCTAGTCTTATATTTAAGAAGATTTTTTGAAGAAGAGAAACAAATGCTTTATAAAATCCAATGGGAGCTGAAAAAGAAACTGAGGGAAGGAGGAAAGAACGATTTATACTTCTGTTAACTAAAAAAGGATTGCTGGAAAAATGTTCTTTACCTGATGCCAATCCTGTTAGTGTTACTACTAGCCATCCTGACCACGCATCATACAAACTTTTTGTCATTTCCCATGCTGATTCTTTCTTTTTGCTGTTGATCTGAAATTAGAAACATTTATGCTTCATTTTTCAAACTATGAATAGAAGCCACAATTCTAGAATCTAGCAATTTTTCTCATTTACCATACATAGAACAGTAATTTCTGAACTAAATAATGGAAAAGGTAAGTTTGGGGCAAAATTGCATTATAGACAGCTGTTATACCTGTAAACCAGATGACAACTCTTTACCAACGATTTGCATTTATTTTTTATTAAAAAATTTTTTTTTCTTTTAATAAATAAGATACAGCCTCGCTATGTTGGCCAGGCTGGTCTTGAACTTCTGAGCTCAAGTGATCCACCGACCTTGGCCTCACAAAGTGCTGGGATTACAGGTGTGAGCCTGAGCCACTGTGTCCAGCCAAGATCTGCATTTTAATAAGAACCTTGAGATTTGAGTGCAAAGGGTGCACAAACTACATAAAATCTGACCTAGACTGTTTCAAATATTATCAAATTTGAACTTCAATTGGTACACACAACTATCTTTTATATATGTCTTCTGTAAGACAACATGGTTTGAATTGTCTGTCATTCTCTGGTCCTAGCAGGTAAGTAGATTATAATGTTCTTTAAAAGATAGGATCTGTGTATAATACCATGCCCATAGATACAATGTATTACTGAATACTCATGTGGACAAAGGGACCCTCTAAAACTTATAGGCCTTTTAATATGCAGGTTTGGAGAGCTCCGATCCCACTGGTAGAGTCCAGAGGCTCTTTCTTCACAATGTAAAGCAAAAGTGTCCTCTACTGAATATATTGTAGGAAGTTAGGAGATTAACAAGACAGTAGTAGATTTGATCCAGATCTCACTATACTAAAACACAAGAAGGTAAGTCTCATCTCTGTTACTAAGAATATACTTCTAAACCTAGGCCTAACTAGTCCACACCTCGTCTGTTCTACTAGGATTGTTGCTTTTAAAAGCCGTTTTCTCAGCCCAGGACTTCAGTGCTCAACTGTTCTGAAGGAGGGCTACAGCTGGAATTCAATGACCCAGTCTATTTCAAGCATCAGGTCTATTTAAAGTCACAATTCCCCACTAAAATGATATAGTAAGTTCTAAGTTGAATGGTGATTTTAATTCTTCTATCCTTTAAGCAACCAAACACAGATATTAACCATTCTTTAGAATTAGAAATAGATTACTTCTTTCAAAAATAATCACTAAACCCCATGCTGCTTTTCCTCAATAAAAATAAATGTAATGTGTAAGAAAACATGATGATATTAAGTTGTTTTCAGACTGAGTCACCGATGTTTTCTTTATATAATTAATTAGCACAGCACCAGAGTGAGGCACTGAAGCAGCTGCTTGATAGAGTATACCAAGTAAAAAAGATACATGTACAGAGAGGTTAATCACCACTGCTCCTAACAAAAATTTGGAAATCAGTGTTCATCAATATAGCATCGGATAAATAAACTGCAGTATACCTATGTAATGAAAAATTCTGCAGCAATTAAAAAAGAATGAGACAGATGTAGTGTTATGCAGAAAAAAAAGCAAGATGGCTAAAAGTATGCTAAAAGACAGGAATATAAATATATATGCTTATATTTTTAAAAATCAGAAGGTAAACCATGAAGTTAAAAATGTAAATTATTACTTATAAGGTGAAGAAGAAAATAGGCTGGATGGGACAGAGACAGAAACTACACTTCTCTGAACATACCTGTTTTGTACATTTAACTTTGGAACCATGGAAATACTTCATATATTTATATAAAAAAAACTAAATCTAAAAAGTAAACCTTAAAAATTGAAGTAAAATTAAATGTGTCTAAGGTGCATCTAATTGGTAACATAATGACACAGAAGAAACTATTCCAAGGGACTTTACAACAACGTAATTTGTATGAACAACTGTGGTGGATTAAATAAAGAATAGGCCAGACACAGTGGCTCACACTTATAAATCTCTGCACTTTGGAAGGCAAAGGCAGGAGGACTGTTTGAGGCTAGGAGTTTCAGAATAGCCTGAGTAACATAGCAAGAGCCAGTCTCTTTAAAAAAAAAAATTAGCCAGGAATGGTGGTGCGTACCTGAAGTCCCAGCTACCCAGTAAGCTGGAGGCAGATTACCTAAAATTTTTCAGTAGGCATATTGTTGGTGATGATGTTGGTACTATTATTCTGACAATGTTGTATGTGTGTATTGTAGGGTAAATGAAATGACTATGTTTGCAATGGTCAAATTTTGTCATGACTTAAAGGAAACGCAGATTTAAGAACTAGAGGTTTAGCCCTACAGTTATGAATTTAAATTAGAAGAGTCATGTACACTTAGGAGGCTAGAAACAACAGGCAACCCAGAAGTAACAGGTACCACTTAGTGCCCAGATTGTATCTGTATTGTATTTTCCTTCAGTGGAATCAGAGCTCCTTGGAGAAATGACTGATTCCAGGTTTGCTGCAGGAAATGTCTATGATGAAGTAGGAGTAAGATTATCTAAGGACATGACAAAGGACACAGATTGTGAACGAAATAAGCGCCCACTAATCTAAAATGAATATGAACATAAATAAGGATAAGAACTGTGATGATTAAAACACAAACATACTTAAATCCATGAGTCCATGGAGACACAGAAACAAACAACAGGCAAGCAGGCAAAACATCTCACTGGTCACCTTTGAGGATGCTAAGGAACCTAGGATTTCAAGATTACTCCCTTCCCTGTACCATCTGTACTTCAGGGAATCCAAATGGTTGAGGGGGGGTAAACTCTCCATAAAATATATAAGCTAATAAATAAAAATGGAACAACAATTAAACTGCAACCATTTTGTAAAATACTGAAATAGCAGTATTTGAAATTACAGAATGTCAATTTGCTTCAAAATAATCTGGGATAGGAAGGCTACAAGTATAACCAAAAAGTTCACTGAAAAAAGAATTAGGTTGGGTATAAGCATTGACATAGAAAGACTTTAAAATTTAACGAAGGCCCAGTGCAGTGGCTCCCACCTGTGATCTCAGCACCCTGGGAGGCTGAGACACGTGGATTACTTGAGGCCAGGAGTTTGAGACCAGCCTGGCCAACATGGCGAAACTCCCTCTCTACTAAAACTACAAAATTAGCCAGGCGTGGTGGTGCACACCTGTAACCCCAGCTACTTGGGAGGCTGAAGCACAAGAACTGCTTGAGTCTGAAGACAGAGGTTGCAGTGAGTTGAGATCACACCACTGCACTTCAGCCTGGGCAACAGACACCTTGAAGGATCCCTGAGACTCTTTTCAAGGGATCTGAAAGAGAAAATTGTTTACAAAATACACAAGACATTATGTATTTTTTTCACTGTGTTGACATTTTTACTGAAAATGTGAAACCAATGGCAAAACTGCTGGCTCCTTAGCAGAAATCAGGCAGTGTCATATTCAAATGTAGTGACAGTCATTACATTCGTGACTGCCCTGCTTCCCAGTAAAATCAAATACATAAATAAATAAAATGCCAGTTTCAAATAAGAGCATCTTTGATGAAACAGCAAAAACTGCAATGCCTCAACCACTCAGTGTTTTTAATATTTTGTGTGATGAAATAAGAACTATGCATAAGGAACCAGGCATAACTATACATATCTGCTGCATGTGGAAGTGTGAGGTCATGTCCTAAAGAAAAGCACTTGCATAATTTATTTGAGTCGCAAAGTAAACTAGACCCTTACATGGAATATCATTTTTACTTTAAAGAGTGACACCAAACTATGGTTTTTCAGACTTGGGAATGTGACAGATATTTTCTCAATAATGAAACCAAGTAATCCTGTCATTTTTAAGTAAAATAAATGTGTATTTGTTTCTAATGATAGAATTTGAGCTATTTGGTAAAAATCAGAATTTTAGAAAACGAGTATCCATCACTGTGAGGATGAAAGGTTCCCAATATTTAGAGACTTTTCTGAAGAGACTGAAGGTAAAATTAACAAATGCAATTTTTAAAATATTATATCCTAAAAGTGTCAACATTTAAAAGATCCACATAGATCAGTGAATCAGTATTTTCCAAATGATCATTGCATGTTATAAAATCACATACTAAAAGTTCAAGGTTCAAAATCAATGAATTTTAATGTAACAGAAGACAAGGTTCATTGTTGCAGTTTCAAAGTACACATTACAACTAATCTTTAAGAAACTAACAATTGTCCTTTTAGTGTAGTATCAAAAAACAATATTTGCAATAATTTTAAGACTATGAAAATACACATTGCTTTTCCAACTATATTATCTGTGTATGAGGGGTCTAATATGGTAAATATCTGTTGACAAAAACCACATAAACAAAGGCTCCTTGGGGTTCTTCAATATTTTTTTAAGAATTTAAAGGGACTGTGAGACCAAAAAGTTTAAGAATCACTGGATAAAAGCACCGATTTTAAGTACTTATTTTTAGATATGCACTGAACATAATTATCATCTGATGAATCTCAGAAGCTGTACCTTTCATAAACAATATAATGTAATTTCAATTTCGGGTTTCACACCCATGTGTACATTAATACAGAAGCTTATAATTAATCTGTGTAAACAGTCATTTTCATTAACAAGTAGATTTCCAACACCAAAATTATACAGGGCCTTCTGAGATTTGGAATTTTATTTTTCAGAAAGATTTTCTACTTTTTGAGGCTAGGAGTTCAACTAGCCTGGCCAAAATGGTGAAACCCCATCTCTACTAAAAATACAAAAATTAGCTTGGCGTGATGGCACAGAATTGTAATTCCAGCTCATCAGGAGGCTGAGTATAAGAATCGCTTGAACCTGGGAGGCAGAGATTGCAGTGAACCAAGTACTGCACCACTGCACTCCAGCCTGGGCGACAGAATGAGACTTTGTCTCAAAATATATATATATTTTTTGGGTCTTAAATAACATATTTTGTATAAAAACTAGCCATGAGGCATGGTGGTACACATGTTTGTAGTCCTAGCTACTCAGGAGGCTGCGGCAGGAGAACCACTTGAACCCAGGAGGTGGAGGTTGCAGTAAGCCAAGATCACACTACAGCACCCCAGTCTGGGCAAAAGAGTGAGACACTGCCTAAATAAATAAATTAATTAATTTTTTAAAAGGTACTTTGGATTACATTTTCAGTAAGTCACGACCACAAACAAAAAGAATCCATAAATTGTACTTTTATATGTTAAACCCATTTAAAAAAAAAAAAAAAACAGTTAGCAAATCATAAAACTCAATAAGCTTTATTTGGGATCCAAGGTGAGAAATATCTCAGAATCAAGCACTGGGAAAGCGGATGAAAGAAAACAGCAAAATCCCAGAAAACTATCTGTCCCCAGTAGATTTCTTCTATTTCAACAGGTAAGAGTTATGCAATGAGTTTCCTTTTTTGCCTTAGCTGCTGGGCTGCTCAAAGCCAAAAATCATGCTGACCTCCATAGCTTGAACTTGCCCTGTTCTTCCCTCAACTCCTGTACTGTATTTTCCCCTTTCCTTCTGATTGTATTTCCTGGTTTTTTAGCTACCTAAATCCTTTCTGGAAAGATACGGGGTATAAGTAACCTAAAAAAATTAAAACACAGAAAAAAGAAAAAAAAATGTACTACATATGAAATGTAGACATTTACTTATATTAAATGTAAACATATTTTGGCAGCCTGAGATCACTGGCAGAAATACATTATTAAATGATCTAATTATATACTATATTTTTTTAAATTACTAAAAGCACTTACCCGTCTGTGCCTTTCCCTGTCTTTACATTTTTCTCGCACCCAATCAATAGTATGGAAATCATCATATGTACCAACACCTGGAATTGGTTCATCCAAAAGATCCAGTAAATGTGTAGAACTGTTAATGCTGCCTCCATTTGTCATTGTATAATGAGTTCCTACAGAGGGAAAAAGGAAAGTATGTTTTAGAAGAGACAATAGTGAGCTATGTGACCTTCTTAGAAGTTCATTATTAAGTCATACAGAAATAATATCACTTGAAATCATTTCAATTAGAGAAAAATGTTAAGAAAAATTATCCAAAACTTGGAAATAAAGGCAAAAGATTGTGGCATGGCCTTTTAGAATCAAACCCAAGTATCAACAATTTGCTTGACAGTCACCTGATGCTTTGGAGAATTCTGAATGACTAATTACTACTGATTAGGGAAAACACTGTAAAATTAGGAAATGTCCTGTAAAAGATAAATTGAAAATCTTGGCCGGGCGCGGTGACTCAAGCCTGTAATCCCAGCACTTTGGGAGGCCAAGGCGGGTGGATCACGAGGTCAAGAGATCGAGACCATCCTGGTCAACATGGTGAAACCCCGTCTCTACTAAAAATACAAAAAAAATTAGCTGGGCATGGTGGCGTGTGCCTGTAATCCCAGCTACTCAGGAAGCTGAGGCAGGAGAAGCTGAACCCAGGAGGCAGAGGTCGCGGTGAGCCGAGATCGCGCCATTGCACTCCAGCCTGGGTAACAAGAGTGAAACTCCGTCTCAAAAAAAAAAAAAATTTTAAATCTTATTTTTTACCTGGTAAAATGTAAATGAATTCTGTCCCATAGGAAAAATAACCCTTACGAGTTGTGGTGATGTTTTCGCCCTGTAAGAATTTGCTTTCTTTCACTGAGGCCACACGTCAGGCTCATATACCCTCCTCTGAATCAGCCTTGTCATCGGGCTGGTTCCCGCATTAGAGTCACATAAATCTTTGACACATGTTCACTACATATCTTATATGAGTAACAAAGACTGGAGAAATGTATCAGGAAGGGCATTTAAAGACAGCTCAAGAAAAAGAAAGACAAGTGGCTTTTACATATGAAAATAAGCTCAATCTAACACATAAAAACAAATGCAAATGAAATCCACAGTATCATTTTTCTCTAGCAGATTAGTAAAGACAAAGTGTGTGAATGCACTAAGGTAGCAGAGCTATGATAAAGGAGGCCCTATCACAAAATAAGTAGTTTAAATATGAACTGGAATAATCCCTTTGGGGAGGCAAAAGCTAGCAAAATTTAATACACACAGATGCTCTTCAACCTAGCAAGTTCACTTCTACATTTTTTTTCTTGCAGCTACATTTGCATAAATCCTTGAATAAATCCGTAAATTATGCACAACGTGGGCAGAACATCTTACTTTATGCTATTCAAAAAAAAAAAAAAAAAAAACCATATTAATGCCAAAGTGTTTATGAGCTGAAATGGGTTGGCCAAGAGCCAGAGAATAAGTATTTTAGGCTTTGGATGCCACACAGTTGCAACAACTCAATTCTACCATAGTAGCACAAAAGAAATAATAGACAATATGTACATGAATGAGTCTGAATGTGTTCCAATAAAACTTTATTTACAAAACAGGTGAAGGACAGGATTCAGCACACGACTCATAGTTTGCCAATCCCTAAAGTCTGTAAAGCAGACTTTAGAACTGAAGACTTCTATTAAGAATTTTTTTGATATAAATAGCACTTTCCTATACAATGTAAGAGATATAATAATAATAATAAATTGTCCCTGACTTCCACGTGCAATATAATATTTTTATAACAAATTACATCTCAAAACAAAGTTCAAATATTGAAGTTCCAAGGTTCCAATATTCTTTCACTATGAATTTAGCAATGTTACCTATAATTTGTTAAAAAGAAATCTTGAGTCTGTAGTACCTTGAACTAGATGGGATTAACCTAAATAAAATTTCTAAAAAAATATGAATTTTCAACTGTAATTTGAGATAAATTAGGCTACGGTTTCACTATGAGATACATTCCATGTTAGATACATTTAACACCTATTTCTGAAAGAAGAAACATATGATATGAGTATAGTCTGTAAAAGAAAATTTATATTACTGTTAGAAAAAGAGGTTTTGGGCCAGGTGCAGTGTCTCATGCCTGTAATTCCCAGCCATTTTGGGAGACTGAGACAGGTGGATTGTTTGAGCTTAGGAATTTGAGACCAGCTTGAGCAGCATGGCAAAACCCCATCTCTGCTAAAAATACAAAGAAAGAGCTGGGTGTGGTGGTGGCATGCGCCTATAGTCCCAGCTATTTAGTAGGCTAAGTTGGCAGAATTACTTGAGCCCAGGTTGGTTGAGGCTGTAATGAGCCGTGATCGCACCACTGCATTTCAACTTAGGCCACAGAGCAAGACACTGTCTCAAAAAAAAAAAAAAAGAAATACGATAATCCGAGTGAAAATTATTAGACCTGACAGTGGAAGTAAAGAGATACAAGCATTTTGGGAGCCAAGTTGGAAATACCTATCAAAATATAAGGGTTCTACTTCTAGGAATTAATTCCTCAAGTGCACAAAGACTTAAATATTTCATTGAACCGTTATTTGTAATACTGAAAAATTCAAACCCATGGAAATGTCTTATCTATTGGTAATGAATTATGTACATTTATGCAATGAAATATAATGCAGCAGTAAAAAGAATAAGGTTGATCGATATATACCTATAAAAACTTGGCTACAATATATCGCAGTTTTAACAAACAGGGTCTGGTGTAGATTAGCATGTTTAATATGTAAATTACTGTGTAACATTTATTTTGGTTTAAAACTTATGCTTCACAGGTATGCTCATGAATACAGAAAAAACAGTACGATCAAACATGAGACAATATATTAATAAAGGTTACCTCTGGGGACCAGAATTGCAAAAAGCAGAAAATGAACTTTCATTTTCTACTTTGTACTTACTACACATATATGTATAAGCACACACACAATATTTTCATAGGATCATGGATATAGCTATGAAAATAGAGAAATTCTAATGAATCCAATCATCATATAAGTAAACAGAGCAACAAACTGCTACCAAAACGGCCAGCTTCTAGTCCTAGACAGCTGAGTAACTTTAAACAAGTTACCTTTAAATATTAAGTATCTATCAGCATCCTTGACAACGATATGATATGTACTACAGCTAATAATAAAGATATATAAGCAAAGAAACATTTACATTTTTTCCAAAGCACTATAAACTTTGAAAACCTCATATATAATTTCAAATAGGTAATTTTAGCATAAGTGATTAGAAATTATATCCTCAAATTATTTTGTAATATAGATTTTAATGCCAAAAATTACCTAGATATTACTGAAAATTATTTGATATAGAATATAAGGAGTGGCACTCTATACTAATGTTTTAAAAAACTATAAAAATGGTTGTAGATATGCTATGCTGCCTCCGAGGCCTCTGTTCTGTTCCATTGGTCTATATCTCTGTTTTGGTACCAGTACCATGCTGCTTTGATTACTGTAGCCTTGCAGTATAGTTTGAAGTCCGGTAGTGTGATGCCTCCCGCTTTGTTCTTTTTGCTTAGAATTGACTTGGCTATGCGGGCTCTCTTTCCGTTCCATGTGAAGTTTAAGGTGTTTTTTTCCAGTTCTGTGAAGAAGGTCATTGGTAGCTTGATGGGAATAGCGTTGAATCTGTAAATTACTTTGGGCAGTATGGCCATTTTCACGATGTTGATTCTTCCTAACCATGAACATGGAATGTTTCTCCATCTGTTTGTGTCCTCTCTTATTTCGTTGAGCAGTGGCTTGTAGTTCTCCTTGAAGAGGTCCTTTACGTTCCTTGTTAGTTGTATTCCTAGGTATTTTATTCTCTTTGTGGCAATTGTGAATGGCAGTTCGTTCTTGATTAGGATGCTGAGCATCGCGGGGAGCAGGCACTCAAGGATGCTCGTGCCAAGCAGCAGCAGCTAGAGGAAGCCTTGCAGAATGCCAAGTAGGACATGGCACAGCAGCTGCGTGACTACCAGGAGCTGACGAACGTCAAACTGGCCTTGGACATCGAGATTGCCACCTACCGCAAGCTACTGGAGGGCGAGGAGAGCCGGCTGGAGTCCATGATGCAGAACATGAGTATCCACATGAAGACCACCAGCGGCTATGCAGGTGGTCTGAGCTCTGCCTATGGGGGCCTCACAAGCCCGGGCCTCAGCTAAGGCCTGGGCTCCAGCTTTGGCTCTGGCGCGAGCTCCATCTTCAGTGGCACCAGCTCCACAAAGGCTGTGGTTGTGAAGAAGATTGAGATCCGCGATGGGAGGCTGGTGTCTGAGTCCTCTGACGTCCTGCTGAAGTGAACACCTGCAACAGCCTCTCCCACCCTGACCCTCCTGAGGATACCCCAGAGCCCGGGAGGGAGGCCACTGTGCAGCGGAGCACAGGGAACATGAGACCCACCCGATGCTCAGCCCTAGCCCTCAGCCCACCCACCAGGGGTTTACTGCCTGGGGACCCCCCTTGCAAAACAATTCAATTGCTTTTTTTTTTTGGATCAAAAATAAAATCTCAGCTAGCTTGGAAAAACAAAAAAGGAATGGAGCAAAATTCCCAAACTACTCTTAAACAGTCTTTCTGGTTTGAATGAACGAATTCTCTTCTGTTTACAGATAAAGAAACAATTCTATATGTTAAAGCCAGAATCTGAACTTTTCATAATCACTGTAAACATTCTTTTATTTTTTTGAGATGGAGTCTCACTCTTTTGCCCAGGCTGGAGTGCAGTGGCACGATCTTGGCTCACTGCAATCTCTACCTCCTGGGCTTAAGCGATTCTCTTGCCTTAGCATCCCAAGTGTCTGGGACTACAGGTGCCTACCACTATGCCTGGCTAATTTTTGAATTTTTAGTAGAGACGGTGTTTCACCATGTTGGCCAGGCTGGTCTTGAACTCCTGCCCTTGTGATCCACTCTCCTCGGCCTCCCAAAGTGCTGGGATTACAGGCGTGAGCCACCAGGGCCCATCAATATAAACATTCTTAGACTAGAGCAAGAGATTATTTGAAATCAATTTGGGGGTAGGATAAGGGAGAAATATACAAAGAACCATGATGCCAATACTATTAACTAATTTTATTACT